AAACACGTTGCAGTTAAGGAGCTGGCCAAAAACCCACAAAACCAAAATGGCGACGAGAGTGACCACGGGTCGTCCTCACTGCTACACTCCCACCAGTGCCATGACAGTTGACAAATGCCATGGCAATGTCAGGAAGTTACCTTATATGGTCTAAAAGGGAGGCATGAATAATCCACCTCTTGTTTAGCCTGTCATCAAGAAATAACCATTAAAATGGGCAACCAGCAGCCCTCAGGGTGCTCTATGGAGTAGCCATTCTTTTATTCCTTTACTTTTTTTTTTTTTTTTTGAGATGGAGTCTTGCTCTTGTCGCCCACGCTGGAGTACAGTGGCACGATCTTGGCTCACTTCAACCTCCACCTTCCAGGTTCAAGTAATTCTCCTGCCTCAGCCTCCTGAGTAGCTGGGATTACAGGCTTCTGGCTAATTTTTGTACTCTTAGTAGAGACGGGGTTTTGCCATGTTGCCCAGGCTGGTCTTGAAGTCCTAACCTCAGGTGACCTGCCCGCCTCGGCCTCCCAAAGTGCTAGGATTACAGGTGTGAGCCACCACGCCCAGCCTCTTCCTTTACTTTCTTTTTTTATTTATTTATTTATTTGTTTTTTTTTTTAAAGATGGGGTTTTACCATGATGGCCAGGCTGGTCTTGAACTCCTGACCTCAGGTGATCCACCCACCTCAGCCTCCCAAAGTGCTAGGATTACAGGCGTGAGCCACCGTGCCCGGCTTCCTTTACTTTCTTAATAAACTTGCTTTCACTCTGCACTGCATACTCGCCCTGAATTCTTTCTTGTGTGAGATCCAAGAACCCTCTCTTAGGGTCTGGGTTGGGACTCCTCTCCTGTAACAGGATTACAGGCATGAGGATTACTGCACCCAGCCCAGATGTTGTATTTTAACTTTTTCTAGCCATGTGACTTGCTTTTGAATAAAACGTAAGAGAAGGTAACACATGTCACTTCTGGGCAAAAGCTTTAAGATCCAGTGCCACATTCCCTTTTCCTGCATGTTTAACAAAGAAGTGCCCTCTGAGGCAGGGACTCGATCAGCCTGGATCCCTGAGTAACCACAGGGAGCAGAGCCCTCACACGCGCACTGCCTGGAGTGGGATGGCGTGTGTGGGGTGGGCGGGACACATCCGGTGAGTGAAGCTACCGCCAAGTGGAGGTTGTTTGTTACAGCAGCGTCACCTGCTCACCCACAGATCACAGTCTGATCTGCCACTGCTTGCATCTGGATGCACTAATGTAAGAGGAGAACAGGATGGGGTCACTGCTGGCCTGTAGCTAAGCACTGTGCCCAGGCACTGGGAATGGCAGCCACCAGGAAGGATCCGTTCTGTGACTGCCAGAGGAAAGGCCAGGCTGAGCATGGCTACTCCAGGCTGGCTCTTGGTTGAAAGTTAGATGCTTTTAGAACCCCAGTTTACCCTTTCAGATCGTTTGTAGACTGTCCTTACATATGTGAAGCACAGGCTGGATTTCTGCTCACTGGTTCTGGAAACCTGCCTACATACACATGGTAACTGAAGGGCCATTCCTCACCAAAGACTTACCATCAGTTTCATAAACCATTTTTTGCAAAAGTCTGACTGGCTCTAAGTCAGTGGTTTTTGTTTTGTTTTGTTTTGTTTTGTTTTGTTTTGTTTTTGAGACGGAGTTTCGCTCTTGTTACCCAGGCTGGAGTGCAATGGCGCAATCTCGGCTCACCGCAACCTCCACCTCCTGGGTTCAGGCAATTCTCCTGCCTCAGCCTCCCCAGCAGCTGGGATTACAGGCACGCGCCACCATGCCCAGCTAATTTTTTGTATTTTTAGTAGAGACGGGGTTTCACCATGTTGACCAGGATGGTCTCGATCTCTTGACCTCGTGATCCACCCACCTCGGCCTCCCAAACTGCTGGGATTACAGGCTTGAGCCACCGCGCCCGGCCTGTCAGAGGTTTTTTAAAGTGAGCCCTAACGAAGCCCTAACGGCTGTGCGGGGGAGACCTCAGAATGCCGTGGGAGGAGCCCAGGTAATTATACCCCAAAATATGGTGCCCTGGCATGCAGATTCTTTCACATGGAAGGCCACTGAAGGACAGCAGATATTGAAGAGGCTTTTCTTGGATACCCCCTTTTCTACCTTAAAAGCCTGGGCTCACCCACAAGAACACACTCGCGTTCCATGCCCCTCTCCAAAATCTACTATAGAGAAGAAGACTGAGGCATGCAGCCACATCTGGGCAGACTTAAAAAATATAATGTCTGCTTCTCAAGTACAAATTCCAAAGAGAATCAATTCTTTACAACTTCTGTCTCCCAGGTCCATTCATTCTCCCCAGTCACCATTTCTGATCTCTCAAAGCACTGACTCCATTCGCCGCTCTCCCCTGTGAAGGACACAGAAGCACCTGCACCCCGCCCGTGCATGGGAAGGTAAATGTGTGTGTCTTTTTCTCCTTCTCCTCTCAAGCTGCTCTTTCGTTGGTTCCTTCGTTTTTTGGTTTTTGTTTTTTGTTTTGAGATGGAGTCTCGCTCTGTCACCCAGGCTATAATGCAGTGGCACAATCTCGGCTCACTGCAGCCTCCACCTCTCAGGTTCAAGTGATTCTCCTGCCTCAGCCTCCCGAGTAGCTGGGATTACAAGCACCTGCCACCAAACCCAGCTAATTTTGTATTTTTCATAGAAACAGGGTTTCACCATGTTAGCCAGGCTGGTCTTGAACTCCAGACCTTGGATGATCTGCCTGCCTCGGCCTCCTAAAGTGCTGGGATTACAGGCATGAGCCACCACGCCCAGGCTGTCAGTTCCTTTTTTAATGAACCTTCAGAGAGTAGAGGGGAAGCTGTCCCCCTTAGCATCTACGGCATCTTCCACAGAACTCGTCCCTTTTTTTAACTTCTTTATTCATAACATTTCATTCCAAAAAAAGCTTATCATGACTAGACCAGGCTCTGAGCACTGCTGTCTAGTGTGTGCCGGCACTATACCCGTGGTGTGAGCCAGAACACTGAGACTACAGGGCCAGCTTTCAAGGGGTGAACTCAGCCCACAGCTAGGACTAGGCAACAGAAAGGTACGGATGAAATGGAAGTAATAAACCTCAGTCTACACAATGGACTAAATACATTTATAATGACAATAAGCATGATTTTTTTTTTTTCTTAGAGACAGGATCTTACTCAGTTGCCCAGGCTGGAGTGCAGTGGTGCAATCATTGCTCACTGTAACCTCCAGCTCCTGGGCCCAAGAGATCTTGCCTCAGCCTCCTGAGTAGCTGAGACTCCAGGCACACACCACCATGCCAGGCTAATTTTCTTTATTTTCATTTTTTTGTAGAGATAGGGTCTGTTGCCCAGGCTGGTCTCAAACTCCTGGGCTCAAGCGATCTTCCCACCTAGGCCTCCTAAAGTGCTGGGATTATAGGGGTGAGCCACCACACCCAGCCTCCAGCTCAGCTTTGAACCCAGGGAATGTAACTATTCACATGCACTATCCACCATTCTATAACAGAGGAATCTGAGTGCCTGCCTGCACATGAAGATTTGGCGTCCTCATTATTCCTTTTACAAAATAATTATTAAAGTAGTAGTTGTGCACCAGTGTTGGCTCATATCCCAAACATTCTACCATCAGAAATAGCCACTGCAAAGGTATCACGGAATAATCAAATAAATCCGCACACAAAGGCTTTGTAAGTCTCTTATTGTTAATCAAATGCCCATGAACTTCTCAAGTAAAGTTGTTATATTGAAGACAAGCATTCAGTAAGAACCGTAGACAGTTCACTGCTTTTTGTGAAGAAAAGCGATATTAACATCTTGCCATGCTCTCCTCATATATTCTCAGAAATGTCCTGGCCAATGTGGGACCCACTTTGACTTTCCCAGGAACACATGGGGATTCCACTAACTTTGACAAATTTGTCTCTTGGCTACTCAATTCAACTGCAGCCAGATGGAAAATGAAAAACTGAGGATGGGGCTGGGCCTATTGTCAAAGACACAAAGAAGTTATTGAGAAGAAACAGTCCAAAGTCTTACCCAGCTGCTATGAAAGCCCCAAGGACGATGGCAAAGACACTGACGATGATGTTCAGTGAATACTGCTTCCTGCAATAAATACATAAATAAGAAAGGAAAGGGAGCAGAGAGGAGAACATTGACATGTGATTATATTTTTTAAGCAAATTGAAAATAGACGTAAACAGATTTATAGGTAAAATCTAGTAGACTGTGCTTGATGTAGAGAAAGCACTAAAGGTGCTTCTAAGTCAGACTAAATTTACATCATTTCTTAAGCAGTTTTCTTAATCTAATTACAAACTGATTTCTCAGTTCTCACTAGAGAGGTATTGGGATAAAAAACAGAAGCGGTCCTGTTGGTGGATCTAGTTTGTACAAACTGATAGTAAGTATTCAAAGATTAAGATAAAATTCAACGCGAAGGCTTAAAACACTGAACCACCAACCAAAATTCTTTTTTTTTTTTTTTTGAGATGGAATCTTGCCCTGTCGCCCAGGCTGAAGTGCAGTGGCACGATCTCGGCACATGCAACCTCCGCCTCCCGGGTTCAAGCATTTCCCTGCCTCAGCATCCCAGGTAGCTGGGATTACAGGCACCTGCCACCATGCCCAGCTGATTTCTGCATTTTTAGTAGAGATGGGGTTTCACCATCTTGGCCAGACTGGTATGGAACTCTTGACTTCGTGATCCACCTGCCTTGGCCTCCCAAAGTGCTAGGATTACAGGCGTGAGCCACCGCACTTGGCCAAAATTCATTTCTAATAATCCTCCCAGCAAAATCAAGAATCACCTTTTTAGACATCAGACTAAATATCCTTGTGAGAAATTTTATACCAACAATATAAAAATTAACTTCTTCTGATATATTATAATCACTGCATCAGAACGGACATCCCAATACCCTGCACACCTATCCTGTATGTACGCATGGACAATTCTCTTTGGCGTTCCAAAATTGGTATATATTCCATCTGGCTCAGGAAACAGGAGCCAGTTTATATACCAAACAAGTGCTGATACATATTCATGTCTGTTTTGGAGTGTTTTTCTTCTTTCTTCCTTATGATTTTCTGCCATAAACATGTATTATTTGTCTACGGTAAAATTACAACTTTTTAAAAATCCCTCATTAAGTTTGTGGGGAATCACAGAAGCAGCAACTCCTGTTAAGTGAATAAACCATTGGTCCTTAAATTATTGCAACTAGCAACGGCCACTAGAATTTGCTGGGCAAAAGAAACGCAGTGGATGGGAGACACACTGGAAGAACGGAGGAAAAACAAAATCACCCGAGTATGATGGTTTCCAGAAGTAGGGTAAGTGGAATGGTGAATTTCCGGAGCACGGTGAACATCGGCAGGCTGCCAGGAAAAGAGCGAAGTATGTCAGACACCCGGGTTGGTTGATTGGTTTTTTTCTTTTACATGTTATATATTTTTAATTAAGCTTACTAATTTTCCAAATGAATTTTCACATTTACCATCAATAAATTACATTGAATAATAAAAAAAATACATGGAGATTAATTTCATACCACTTTCACTTAGCAATTTATTTATTTTTTATTTTTGGTGACAGAGTGTCACTCTGTTGCCCAGGCAGCAGTGCAGCGGCGCAATCTTGGCTCACTGCAACCTCCGCCTTCCGAGTTTAAGCAATTCTCCTGCCAGGCTGGTCTGAAACTCCTGCCCTAAGGTAACCCACCTGACTCAGCTTCCCAAAGTGCTGAGATTACAGGTGTCAGCCACCGCACCCAGTCTTCACTTGGCAATTTAAGACACCATACTGTCCAACCATCCTAAAGGTTGTGCTGAAAATACTTCACAAGGTGAACTGACACATCGTTTGACAAATCAAGTCAGGCATATGCATCAGCAATCATTAAATGGTCCTGACCAGCTGGGAGCGGTGGCTCTCGCCTATAATCCCAGCACTTTGGGAGGCCAAGACAGGTGGATCATTTGAGGTCAGGAGTTCGAGACCACCCTGGCCAACATGGTGAAACCCCATCTGTACTAAAAGTACCAAAATTAGCCAGGTGTGGTGGTGGGAACTTGCAGTCCCAGCCACTTGGGAGGCTGAGGCAGGAGAATCGCTTGAACCCGGGAGATGGAGGTTGCAGTGAGCCAAGATTACGCCACTGCACTCCAGCCTGGACAACAGAGCGAAGACTCTCAGAAAAAAAAAAAAAGGTTCTAACCTTGCATCTAATTACTTCTTATTGGGAAACTTATTCTAAGGTAATAATCTAAAGAAAGAAAAAAAACGCATGCATAAATGTGTTCACTGCAGTGAACAGTTTTCTGTGGGAAAACATAAATGTCAGACAGCATCACAATGGTTAAATAAATTAGGGTACGTACTTGAGGGAACCTGACATTATAACTCTACAGTACAAATACTACTGGAAAATGAATATTAAATAAAACGAATGGATACAAAACCATGTAGGGTCTGCAACTATAACAAGATACATTCTGTATGTGGAAAAAGGCTGCAAATGATTATTTATTTATTTATTTATTTATTTAGAGATAAAGTCTCACTCTGTCCCCCAGGCTGTGCAGTGCAGTGGCATGATCTCAGCTCACTGCAATCTCCACCTCCCAGGCTCAAGCGATTCTCCTGCCTCAGCTTCCCAAGTAGCTGGAATTACAGGCACCCACTACCACACCCGGCTAATTTTTGTATTTTTAGTAGAGACAGGGTTTCGACATATTGGCCAGGCTGGTCTCGAACTCCTGATCTCAGGTGATCCGCCCGAAGTGCTAGGATTACAGGCATAAGCCACCGCGCTGGGCTGAAAATGAGTATTTAAAATTGTGTGTTAAAGGGTAGACTTATGGGTGATTTTCTTGCCCAAATTTTACGTAATGAGGCTATACTGCCTTAAAATATATACTTACGAACCTTTCACCCACTCCTAACACCCAGAGATTCCAGGATGCAGCTCAATGCATAGTCAACAGACTGCCAGGGCTGAAATAGCCCATCTCCACCTGCTTCCAGATGCGACCCTGAGCGGCCAATGAGCTAGAGAAAGAAAGTCAGAGCCGGAACAGCAGCACAGGGAGAGTGGCAGCTCAGCCAACCAGACCCAGCACGGGCTTCACATTGTCAAACACAGTGCATCCAGAGAGCAGCTAAGAAAGAATGTTCAGGAATTTTATATTCACACCTAAAGATGACTTATGAGACTGGCTGGACCTACATTTTTCAAAGCTGCAATAACAACAAAACTTTCTATATTTTCAATTAAGTCCAAAAAGTATTTTAGATTATGCCTTTTAAAAGCAAATAAAGTATATTTAATGGTTAAAATATCTTCCCTCTAAGATCGGGAACAAGACAAGGATGTTCACTCTCAGCATTGTATCTATTCAGTGAGGTTTTGATAGTGCAATTAGATAAAACAAACATCTCATTTGGAAAGGAAGAACTAAAGCTATCTGTATTTGCAGAGAACATCTTATATACAGAAAATCCTAAGGGATCCACTTAAAAATTATTAGAACTATGATAAGTGAATCAAGCATATATGCAGGAAATAAAACTAATATACAAAAGTCAACTCTAAATATACACTAGCAATGAGTAATCCAAAAATGAGATTAGGCCAGGCACAGTGGCTCATGCCTGTAATCCCAACACTCTGGGAGGCCGAGGTGGGTGGATGACTTGAGGTTAGGAGTTTGAGACCAGCCTAGCCAACATGGAGAAACCCCACCTATATGGAAAATACAAAAAATTAGCTGGGCGTAGTGACGCATGCCTGTAATCCCAGTTACTCAGACGGCTAAGGCAGGAGAATTGCTTGAACCTGGGAGGTACAAGTTGCAGTAAGCCAAGATCACACCACTGCACTCCAACCTGGGTGACAGAGCGAGACTCCATCTCAAAAAAAAAAAAAAAAATGAAGTTAGCAAAGCAATTTCATCAACAATAGCATCAAAAGCATCAAAAAGAATAAAATTCTTAAAAACAATTTTAACCAAAAGAAGTGTAAGACTTGTGTGGAGAAAACTACAAAACACTGTTTAAAAAAATTAAAGAAGCCAAGTACAGTGGTTCATGCCTGTAATCCCAGCACTTTGGGAGGCTGAAGTGGAAGGATTGCTTGAGGCCAGGAGATCGAGACCAGCCTGGGCAACCGAGGGATAACCTGTCTCAAACTAGAGTTCCCATGAAAGCTGATTGTTAGAGGAGCCTGATAGCACCCGCCCCACCTTGCCACGTGGTCTTTGCACACACTGGCTCCCCTTCCCCTTCTCCCAGGAGCGGAAGCAGCCTGAGGCCCTCACCAGATGCAGATGCAGGTGCCATGCCTCTTGTACAGCCTGCACACCTGTGAAGCACATGAACCTCTTTTCTTGATAAATTACCCAGCCTCAGGTAGTCCTTTACAGCAACACCAACAAAGTCACCAATTCAACACAATCCCTATCAAATCTTAGCTTTTACCTGGCTTGATCTATTCTTTTTTTTTTTTTTTGGCAGAAATTAGCAAGCTAATTTTAAGATTAATAAAGAAATGTAAGGGAATCAAAAAATCAAAACTATCTTGAAAAAGAACAAAGTTGGTGCATTCCTACTTTCCATGTCAAAATTTAATACAAAGTTACAGCAATCAAAACTAGCTAGTACTGGCTTAAAGATATATAAATATATATGGCTGGGCATGGTGGCTCATGCCAATAATCCCAGCAGTTTAGGAGGCTGAGGCAGGCAGATCCTTTGGGCCCAGGAGTTTAAGACCAGCCTGGGCAACACGGTGAAACACAGTCTCTACAAAAAATTTTAAAAAAAAAAATTATTAGCCAGGTGTAGTGGTGCGCACCTGTGGTTCCAGCTACTTGGGGGGCTGAGTTGGGAGGATCATGTGAGCCTGGACGCTCAAGACTATGGTGAGTGCTGACAGTACTACCACACTCCAGCCTGGGTGACAGATCAACATCCTGTCTCAAAAAAATAACAATAAAGGTAGATATGCAATCAATAGAACAGAATTGAGAGTCAAGAAATACACTCTTAAAATTACGCTTGATTTTCAACCAGGCTGCCCAGACAATACAATGGAAAAAGAACAGTCGTTTTAACACATGGTGCTGTGACAACTGGTATCACCTGCGAAAAAATGAATCTGAACTTCTATCTCACACCATACATAAAAAATTAACCCACCGGCTGGGTTCTGTGGCATGTGCCTGTTGTCCCAGGTACTCGGGAGGCTGAGGTGGAGAATCATTTGAGCCCAGGAGTTTGAGGGCACAGTGAGCCATGACTGTACCGGTGAATAGCTACAGCATTTGAGCCTGGGTAACACAGCAACATAGAAAGACCCCATCACTTAAAACAAATAATTTTTTAATTAACTGAAATGTATTAAAGACCTGGATATAGGAGCCCAAACTATACAATTCTTAGAAGAAAGTATAGGAGTAAATCTTTATGACCCTTGGGTTAGGCAAAGCCTTAGGTAAAACATCAAAAGCACAAGCAACAAAACATAAAAAATAGAAAAACTAGAATTCATAAAAATTTTAAAACTTTTATAAGCTAGGCACAGTGGCTCATTCCTGTAATTCCAACACTTTGGGAGGCTGGGACGGGCAGATTGCTTGAGCTCAGGAGTTCAAGACCAGCTTGGGCAACATGGCGAGACCTAGTCTCCACAAAAGTATAAAAATAAGCCAGGCATGGTGGCACACACCTGCAGCCCCAGCTACTCGGGAGACTGAGATAGGAGAATCGCTTGAGCCCAGCAGGTTGAGGCTGCAGTGTGCTATGATGGCACTACTGCACTACCGCCTGCGTAATGAAGCGAGACCCTGTCTCGAAAAATAAATAAATAACATTTTTATAAACGGATACACCAAATGTAATATATATACCTGCAATGAAATACAAATCAGCCTGAAAAAGGAATTAAATTCTGATACCTAATATAACCTGGATAAACCGTGAAAATATTATGTAAGTGAATAAATCAGACAAAAAAAGGCAAAACTGTTGAACAAATCCACTTGTATAAGATGTCTAGAGTAGGCAAATTTGTAGAGAATTAAATGTAAAATATAAACTATAAAAAATCTGGAAGATAGCCTAGAAAATCTGGGTGATCTTGGTTTGTTGATGAGTTTCAAATACCACACCAGAAGCATAATTCATGAAAGAAAAAAATTGATTGTGAACTTCATTAAAATTAAAAACCTCAAGGCCAAGTGTGGTGGCTCACGCCTGTAATCCCAGCACTTTGGTTGGGAGGCCAAGGTGGGCAGATCACGAGGTCAAGAGATCGAGACCATCCTGGCTAACACAGTGAAATCCTGTCTCTACTAAAAATACAAACATTAGCTGGGCGTTGTAGCACACGTCTGTGGCCCCAGCTACTCGGGAGGCTGAGGCAAGAGAATCGCTTGAACCCGGGAGGCGGAGGTTGCAGTGAGCCGAGATGGCGCCACTGCACTCCAGCCTGTATGACAGAGCGAGACTCCATCTCAAAATAAATTTAAAACTTCAGCTCTGTGAAAGAAGTGTTAATTAAATAAAAAGGTAAGCCACAAACTAGGAAGAAAAATTTGCAAAACACATATTTGATAAAGGACTTGTAACAAGTAAATGAAAAGCCATAAATCCATGATAGGAAAAAACAACCCTCCCCAGTCACTAATGAAGGTGTCAGGACACTAACTGATTAGTCTGAACGTTGATAAAGGAAGTTTTTATCCTGCTTTTCCTATATGAAGTAATGAAAATTTGTCCTTATTGAAAAAGTTTAAGCCAGGCTCGTGGCTGTAATCCCAGCACTTTGGGAGGCCAAGACCAGCAGATTACTTGAGGTCAGGAGTTCGAGACCAGCCTGGCCAACATGGTGAAACCCCATCTTTACTAAAAGTACAAAAATTAGCTGGGCATGGTGGCAGGCACGGAATCCCAGCTACTTGGGAGGCTGAGGTAGGATAATCACTTGAACCCGGGAGGCAGAGGTTGCAGTGAGCTGAGATTGCGCCACTGCACTCCAGCCTGGATGACCTAGTGAGACTCCATCTCAAAAAAAAAAAAAAAGTGAAAAAGAAAATGTTTAGACAATAAAGGCAGAAGGTAACTATTTTGCAATTTGTAATTCAATAATAAATTTAGACAATGATTATCAACAGCTGTTAAAACAATTACGGGTAATATTGATTGTGAACCTTGTAAGGAAGGGACAAGAGATCAACCCTATAAAATCATTAACAGTGAAATTGATCCATTTAATAGCATTCCAGGAAGGACAAGGTATTATGTGCCCCATAATCAAAAGATCCAGAAATAGGCTAGGCGCGGTGGCTCATACCTGTAATCCCAGCACTTTGGGAGGCCAAGGCAGGTAGATCACCTGAGGTCAGGAGTTCAAGACTAGTCTGGCCAACATGGTGAAACCCCATCTCTACTAAAAATACAAAAATTAGCCAGGCATGATGGCGGGCACCTGTGATCCCAGCTACTTGGGAAGCTGAGGCAGGAGAGTCACTTGAACCCGGAAGGCAGAGGTTGCAGTGAGTTGATATAGTACCACTGCACTCTAACTTGGGCTACAGAATGAGACTCTGTCTCACAAAAAAAGAAAAAAAACGGAAATAAATGTAGATGCGAATTTCAGAATTACATAGCACACTTGAAAATATCTGCCATTTCTTTTTCCCTGCACCAAACCTGGTCTACACCAAGCCTGAGGCGATGTTCCTGCTCTTATAAAACTGAGATGAGGCCGGGCGCGGTGGCTCAAGCCTGTAATCCCAGCACTTTGGGAGGCCGAGGCGGGTGGATCACGAGGTCAAGAGATCGAGACCATCCTGGTCAACGTGGTGAAACCCCGTCTCTACTAAAAATACAAAAAATTAGCTGGGCATGGTGGTGCGTGCCTGTAATCCCAGCTACTCAGGAGGCTGAGAATTGCCTGAACCCGGGAGGCGGTGGGGTGAGCGGGCGGCGAGCCATCCCAGGCACTCCAGCCTGAGAAAAGCGAGACTCCGTCCCTCTCAAAAAAAAAAACAAAACTGAGATGAAACCAAAGTCACACAAAACCACATTCATACCAACAATCCTACTGAATAAATCAGACTTTCTCTATCTTAATGTTACAGCTCTCATGTGCTATGTTCAGGCTTGAATACAATATAAAACATAAGCTTTTTAACATTCCTAAAATCATCGACAAATTAAACTCAAAACTCCACCTTGCTTTCTTAAATTACTAAACGTTACTGTCTTCTATATATAGTGCAAGCAGCATCAATGGCAAAATCAAACTTGGTCTTTGTACCACTGGGCAGCAGAGCCATAATCCCGCACTCTACCTTAATTTACTTGTGCTTGATAATCCACTTATGTGGTTCCCAACGTAGAGGAGAGGCAGAGGAAATAGCTTCAATTAAAAAAAAAAAAAGAATGAATATTTGGTTAGAACTCCAACAGGCATTTTCCTTCACATATAAAAATGGTGACAGATACTTCACCAGAGAGGATATTCAAAAAGGCATTAAAAAACAATTTTGGCAGGCTGTGGTGGCATCCCAGCACTTTGGGAGGCAGAGGCAGGTGGATCACAACGTCAGGAGTTCAAGACCAGTTCCAGCTTGGGCAACAGAGCGAGATTTTTTGTATTTTTCATCTCAAACAAAGAAAGAAAGAAAGAAAAGAAAGAAAGAAAAGGTGCTCCTCCTCACTAGTCATCAGGGAAAAGCAAATTAAAGCCCATAAGATGTCATGACACACTCACCAGATTAGCAAATTTTATTATTTATTTATTTGAGACAGAGTTTCATTCTAGTTGCCCAGGCTGGAGTGCAATGGTGTGATCTTGGCTCACTGAAACCTCCACCTCCCAGGTTCAAGCAGTTCTCTGGCCTCAGTCTCCTGAGTAGCTGGGATTACTGGCGCCTGCCATTACGCCCGGCTAATTTTTTGTATTTTAGTAGAGACGGTGTTTTGCCATGTTGGCCAGGATGGTCGCGAACTCCTAGCCTCAGGTGATTCACCCACCTTGGTCTCCCAAAGTGCTAGGATTACGGGTGTGAGCCACCACACCCCGCCCAGATTAGCAACATTTAAAATGACTCGCATAGCAAGAATATGAAGCAACAGAGACTTTCATGCATGCTTGTCAGAACGTAAACTGGTGCAGCCACCATGAAGAACAGTTCAACATTACATATTGAAACTGAAGATACGCACACCCCAGGGGCCAGCAGTTCCACTCCCTAATGGATACATTCCTCATTCATATGCATTGTTATGGACTGAATATTGTCTTTCCCCAAATTCATATGCTGAAGCCTAATCCCCAATGTGACTGTATTTGGAGATGAGGTCTCAACCAAGGTAATTCAGGTTACATGAGGGCATAGTGACAGAGCTCTAGACCAACAGGAATGGTGTCCCTATATGAAGAGAAGAGGGCAGGTACAGTGGCTGATACCTGTAATCGTAACACTGGGAGGCCCAGGCGGGAAAATAGCTTAAGCCCGGGAGCTCAAGGCCAGCCCTGGTAACATAGTGAGACCCTGACTCTTAAAAAAAAAAAAAACATAATTAGCAAGGCATGGTAGCAAATGCATCAGTCCCAGCTACTTGGGGGGCTGAGGCAGAAGGATCACTTGAGCCCAGGATTTCGAGGCTGCAGTGAGCTGTGGATGTACCACTGCACTCCAGCCTGGGTAACAGAGCTAGACCCTGTTTCAAAATAATAATAATAAAAATGAAAATAGCCGGGCGTGGTGGCTCAAGCCTGTAATCCCAGCACTTTGGGAGGCCGAGGCGGGTGGATCACAAGGTCAAGAGATCGAGACCATCCTGGTCAACATAGTGAAACCCCGTCTCTACTAAAAATACAAAAAATCAGCTGGGCATGGTGGTGCGTGCCTGTAATCCCAGCTACTCAGGAGGCTGAGGCAGGAGAATTGCCTGAACCCAGGAGGCGGAGGTTGCGGTGAGCCGAGATCGCGCCATTGCACTCCAGCCTGGGTAACAAGAGCGAAATCCCGTCTAAAAAAAAAAAAAGAAAGGAAAAGAAAAGAAAAACAAAAAAAAAAAAAAGAAGTGGAAGAGATACCAGGAGTGCACACACAGAGGAAGGGCCACTGAGGACACAGTGAGAAGGTGGCCATTTGCAAGCCAGGAAGCAAAGCCTCACCAGAAGTCAACCCTGCCAGCACCTTGGTCCCGGACGCCAGCCTCTAGAACTGTGAGGAGACCCGTTTCTGTTGCTGAAGCCACCTGGCTTGGGGTATTTTGTTATGGCAGCCCCGGGTAACACATGTGCACCAGGGTCCAACTATAAGCATGATCAGAATGGTACTTCTTATTTTTCTAGCCCCCAAACTGGAAACATCCAAATTACCATCAACAATAGAACAGATAAGTAAATTGTGGTATATTCATACATGAAAAGAATACAGTCACACATAACACAGATGAATTTCACTATCATAATAGTAAGTGAAAGAAGCAAGATACAAAATAAGATAGAGTATATTCCCTTTATCTCAAGTCAAAAAGCAGGTAAGAATTTAGGGATGCATCTAGATTTAGAAAAATTACAAAGAAAGCAAGAAAATTATTGTTAGAAAAGTTAGGACAGTGGGTAAGGAAGACTTTGTGATCCCATTTCATGACCTAAGTAATGTTTTACAAGGTTAATTATTCATTCAACTACACATTCAAATAGGATGCCTTTTTCTCTATGTATAGATCAGATTTTACCATTTTAAAATTATAATATGCCATAAATAAGAGTAATCAAGCCCAGCAATTTTCTGTTTTTTCTCATGATGATTAGGTTGACAGCCTTCATATACTTCAACCTTTTATTTCTCTTTTTCTGGATGTCCCTAATTTTTTTTTTTTTTTTTTTGAAACAACATCTCACTACTCCGCCCACACTGATCTCCAACTCCTGGCCTCAGGTGATCCTCCTGCCTTTGCCTCCCGAATTGATGGGATTATAGGCATGAGCCACCGCACAGGGCTCCCCTGATTACGGATGCTGTAAGCATGTGCTTCTTTAGTCTGTCTGATAAATAATCCACCGCTAGATGCTGACACTTTTCCAAGCATTAGAGAAACAGCAGCAAACCAGCCACATGGGGTCCTCACCCTCAGGGAACTGACAGTCTAATTTAAATCCAAATACTGTCATAATCCATTTAATCCCACCTGTTGCATGGGACTGGTCCAAGAACCAAATGCCTGCCCTAATGTCTGGAACTCAGTAACTGTTCAACAAATAATATTAGTTCCATTCCACAGTCCAGGAAGGAATGGCAGATTTTGTTTCTAGTTCCATGATGGAAAAAACTCCGTATTTCTATGTATATCAAATTGCATTCTTCATTCCACTCAGAGCTTTTGTCAATCCAGGCTAAAAATGAACACTGAAAACAGAAATCAGTAAATTAGGGCCCAAATCCAGCCCAGCTCTTGTTTATGTTAGTAAAGTTTTACTAGAACACATGAACATCAATCCATTTAAATGTCATCTAGGGCTACTTTCGTAGTATAGCGGCAGAGGTGAATGATTACAAGAGATGATGTGACACTTTACCAAAAAATTTGCCAACCCTTAATTTAGAGTTCTCTCACTTGAGAAGACACACAGTCAGAGTATTCATTCATTTGATGTATGTTGTTAAGCATATACTTTTACTACTATTCCATCACATAAATGAACAACTGAATGATATACAATCTTTATTAAGAATTTTCTTGGCCAGGAGCGGTAGCTCACACCTGTAATCCCAGCACTTTGGGAGGCCAAGGTGGGTGGATCACTTGAGGTCAGGAGTTCGAGACCAGCCTGACCAACATGGTGAATCCCATCTCTACTAAAAATACAAAAATTAGCTGGGCATAGTGGTGCATGCCTGTAGTCCCAGCTACTAGGGAGGCTGAGGCCAGAAAATCGCTTGAACTCGGGAGTCAGAGGTTGCAATGAGCCAAGATGCACTGCACTTCAGCCTGGTGACAGAGTGAGACTCCGCCTCAAAAAAAAAAAAAAAAATTAGCCTGGTGTGGTGGCAGGTGCTTGTAATCCCAGCTAATCATGAGGCTGAGACAGGAGAATCACTTGAACCCAGGAGGCAGAGGTTGCAGTGAGCAGAGATAGCACCATTGTACTACAGCCTGGGCAACAGAACGAGAGTCCATCTCAAACAAAAAAAGGTTTCTATCAACTGCAGGGAGGAAGTACAGTGTGTATAGAAATGGACCTGTACTCTAAAATCAATGTGTATTTTCCCATCTTCTATCACAGCTGTATATACTTTTTATTACATACCTTTACAGGAATTTTCTTATCAAAATCAGGGAAGTGAACTATTTTATTTAGCTTGGACACATATAGTATCATTATGGTGGCTGCCATCTGAAGAAAAAGGGAGAGAGAAACTTCAGCAAAATATCTGCAGATTGCTGGAGGTGCAATGACATCATCGGAAGAAAACACATTCATCAAAAGAAATATGGCAAAAAATTCATTTTCCAAGTTCCAGAAAAAACAACTATTTCTTAGAATATTAAAATTGTTTTTCTTGCCACAGTGCAGATTCCATCAGAAATCTAGGCAAAAAATGTAATGTTGGGCAGGATGAGGTGGCTTACACCTATAATCCCAGCACTTTGGGAGGCTGAGGCGGGCAGATCACTTGAGGCTAGGAGTTTGAGACCAGCCTGGAGTTTGAGGCCAGTGACAAAACCCCGTCTCTACCAAAAATACAAAACTTAGCCAAGAATGGTGGTGGGCACCTGTCATTCCAGCTACTCAGGAGGCTGAGGCCTGAGAATCGCTTGAACCCAGGAGGCCAAGGTTGCAGTGAACCAAGATCGCGCCACTGCACTCCAGCCTGGGCAACAGAGTGACACAGCACTGTCTAAAAAATAATAATAATAATAATAATAATAATATCAGCTGGGTGCAGTGGCTCATGCTTGTAATTCCACCACTTTGGGAAGCTAAGGTGGGAGGATCACCTGATCCTTCTAGGAGCTCTAGACCAGCCTAAGTAACATGGTGAAACTCATCGCTACAAAAAATACAAAAACTTAGCCAGTCTTGGTGACGTGTGCCTGTGATCCCAGCTATTCAAGATACTGAGGTGGGAGGATCACCTGAGCCTGGAAAGTCAAGGCTGCAGTGAGCCATGATTATGCCATTGCACTCCAGCCTGGGCGACAGAACAAGACTCTATCTCAAAATCATCATAATAATATATATATAAATAATATCAAATAGACTTACACATACACATTCTCTCAAGGGGTTCTAGGAACGGAACTGCGGCAGAAGGAGAAAGGGGGTGGTGTCCCTGACAGTGACAAATGTGCAAAAGTGGCCAGAGTCAGTGAGGCGACACATTAATCCTGGACCTTGCTTCCCGTATACTAAACATACAGTCATCTTCCCCCGTAAAGGCACGGGGACATTCTTTTAAAAGAAACTCCACACATAAGCACATTTTTTTAAAGTCCATTATTTCCGTAAAACAGAAGACTAACAAAGAGAAAAAAAGGTTAAAGAGAGATTTACTTTTCAATCTAGCTGGTATAGCAAGAATGCCTCATTCAAATCCTCTTAATCTGGAGTACCCTTTGTATACCGGAAATACTCCGTATCATTATTATGAAATTAAAAAATTTAATGTCATCTTCCATGCAAGTTTTGGAACTTAATTTTCTCTGTATTAAGATGCAAAAATTTAAGACTCCTTCAACATGATTATAATCCTATACCTTGCTCCTGAGTTTACAAACTTAATACCTATCATATATTTATGTAATTAAGACTACCCTGAATTATAACTGTACTTTGTACTTACGCCTCACTTTATAATTCTTAAAAAAATACAATAACATTGGCCAGGCACAGTGGCTCATGCCCATAATCCCAACACTTTGGAGGCCAAGGTGGCAGATCGCTTGAGCCCAGACGTTCAAGACCAACCTAGGCAACATGGCAAAACCCTATCTCTACAGAAAATTTAAAAAATTAGCCAGTGTGGTGGGGCATGCCTGTAGTCCCAGCTACTTGAGAGGCTGAGGCAGGAGGATCACTTGAGCCCAGGAGGTCAAGGCTGCAGTGAACCAAGATCACGCCATTGCACTCCAGACTAGGCAACAGAGCCAGACACTGTCAAAAAAAAAAAAAAAAAAAAAAGAAAGAAGGATAAAATAAAATAAATGTACAAACATTTACTTAAAATAAATGTAATTCAGACTTTTAAAATTAGGTCTGACTGGCCTCTTCCCTCAACAAATTGCAAATTAGAAAGGCTTCACCTTTGAGTATAAGCCAGTGGGTTAAAGAGTAATGAGTTTATTTCACTTGGTGATTACAAAGGGCACCTTATCACTGATTTTTTTTTTTTTTTTTTTTGGAGTCACAGTCTTGCTCTGTCACCCAGGCTGGAGTGCAATGGTGCAATCTCAGCTTACTGCAACCTCTGCCTCACAGTGAATGTTCAAGTGATTTCTGGCTAATTTTTGTATTTTTAGTAGAGATGGAGTTTCGTCATCTCTACCAGGCTGCTCTCGAACTCCTGACCTCAAGTGATCCACCCACCTCGGCCTCCCAAAGTGCTAGGATTATAGGCATGAGCCACTGTTCCTGGCCTGATTTTTTTTTTTTAATGTGATTTTTAAAATATTTTTACATTGAAATATAAAGATAATTTTTTTACTGTAAGAAAATTCTTGTTACAAATTTTCTCCCTAAAATGATGCTGCAAAGAGTTGCTTATTAGCAAGACATTTAATCAGAATAATGTTTACCCACATAAATGACAGGCTTTTCCAGATTCACAATTAAAAATTTAGTTAACAGATACTAGTTTCATAATGTTAAGCTTTTTCGTCTATAAATTAAAGCAAAATCAAAACAAACAAACAAACAAAAAACATTGGGGCCTGTTACACTTGTTTATCTGGAAATCACCAGGATACAACCACAAGAATAAATGAGCCACAAATTAACATGAATGGGAAATTTCAGAAACTGCCAAATGGGCATAGTTTGAAAGCTTACCCAAGCTCATCCTTGTACTTCAGAGCAAAAATCACAAACTCCAGGAAGCAAACTGCAAACGTTTTGTTTGGCACATAGGGAGTTTTGTAAAAATTTGAATCAGTTGCCAGCATTTATGAATTTGAAGATTTTATATAAAAATTCAAACTCTCGCCGGGCGCAGTGACTCACGCCTGTAATCCTAGCACTTTAGGAGGCCGAGGCAGGTGGATCACGAGGTCAGGAGTTCAAGACCGGCCTGGCCAACATGGTGAAACCCTGTCTCTACTAAAAACACAAAAAATTAGCTGGGCATGGTGGCGTGCGTCTGTAATCCCAGCTACTTGGGAGGCTGAGGCAGGAGAATCGCTTGAACCTGGGAGGCAGAGGTTGTAGTGAGCCAAGATCATGTCACTGCATTCCAGCCTGGGCTTTGCTTCAAAAAAAAAAAAAAAAAAAAATCAAACTCTCAGCTGGGCGTGGTGCCTCATGCCTGCAATCCCAGCACTTTGGGAGGACAAGGTGGGCGATCACCTGAGGTAAGGAGTTCAAGACCAGCTTGGCTAACATGGGGAAACCCCTTCTCTATTAAAAATACAGAAATAGCTGGGCATGGTGGCAAATGTCTGTAATCCCAGCTACTCAGGAGGCTGAGGTGGGAGAATCTCTTGAACCAGGGAAGCAGAGGTTGCAGTGAGCCAAGATTGCACCATTGCACTCCAGCCTGGGCAACAAGAGCAAAACTCTGTCTAAAAAATCAAAAAAATTCAAACTCTCTCTTGAAAAGCACCTGATGCTAATAATCAGGGCAGCATGGTGAGTCCCATGCCACGTCCCAACCCTTTTCCTATCAGGCACAATGGCTTAAACTAAGTATCAAGCTCACACTTTAAGTGGGACAAGGATTCTCTCCCACCCAGTCCTCAGTCAACTCATGTGTTACCCTCCAGGCCTTGGGGGCTTTAAGTCTTGTATTCCCCTGCTTTAGAGTAATTAAATTCAGTTAAGGAACTTAAAATAAGCAGCTGCTTTTCCCATAAATACGAGTGTTCCTAAATTGTAGACTTAAATAAAATAAGTCCTGTTGTCTCACCAAGAGTGCCATGAGCCTCTGGTCCTCTGCCAGCTGAATAAATTTACAAACCACAGCTTTAAACAAAAGGACTCAAAATGTCGTTACGTACACTGATGGCAAAATAGGAGGTTAATTCCATGTTTCCACTCACCTGTCCAATTCCAAGGAAAATTGGTGACGGGAAACTACAAAGAACACAGAACAACAAATCAGTTAAGCAAATATAACAATCTGAAGATAGTACATAATAAATAATGACAAGTTATTAAAAAGTCTGAGAAAATGAAAATTTATCAAGCTTGTTCACTTTTCGTTTATTTCTTTTTTTTAATTTTATTTTTAAGACCGTGTCTTGCTCTGTTGCCCTAGCTGGAATGCAGTGGTGTAAACGTGGCTCACTGGAGTCTCAGCCTTTTGAGCTCAGAAGGTCTCTCACCTCAGCTTCCTGCCACCCAGGCTGGAGTGCAGTGGTGTGACGGCTCAAGCCATCCTTCCTCCTCCACCTCCCTAGTAGCTGGGACCACAGGCACAGGCCACCACCCCCAGCTAAACTATATATACATACATTTATATATATATATATATATTTTGTAAACATATATGTGTGTGTGTGCGTGTGTGTGTGCATTTTTTTTTTTTTTTGAGATGGAGCCTCACTCTTATCACCCAGGCTGCAGTACAGTGCTGCAATCTCAGCTCACTGCAACCTCTGCCTCCCAGGTTCAAGTGGTTCTCCTGCCTCAGCCTTCTGAGTAGCTGGGATTACAGGCTTGCGCCACCGTGCCCAGTTAATTTTTGTATTTTTAGTAAAGATGGAGTTTCACCACGTTGGTCAGGCTGGTCTCAAACTCCTGACCTCAAGTTATCCACCCACCTCAGCCTTCCAAAGTGCTGGGATTACAGGCGGGAGACACTGTGCCCAGCTAAACATGACATATTTTTAATTTGCCTCAAAATACTTTGGGGGGGCAATGGTGGAGTGAGTGGGAGAGGGATACAAATGCAGCAAAGCTGTGGACTCTGGGTAATAGTTACATAGTGATTCATTATACTCGTTTTAAAAGATAATATACCCAGGAACAAATCTAATCAAAGATTTGCAAGAAAGGCATCTGTATAAATCATTATACATCAATATTCTAAAAATTAAAGAACTAAAATAAAGGTCATGGGTTGGAAACTTGATACTGTAGTGATGTCCATTATCCCCAAATTTATTTATAGAATCAGTGCAATCTCAGCAGAAATATCAACAGATATTTTGTGGAAACTAACAAGCTGATCCTAAAGCTGAATGAAAAAAAGGCAAAGAGCACAAACCACCCAAGACAATCCTGAAGATAAGCAAAATCAGAGGAATTACTCTAATGGATGTCAGAATTCATTTTCAAATTACAATAAATGAGATTGGGTGGTAGTTGCACAAAGGTAATCCAACGGGACAATGGGAAAGAACAAAGGTCAAGACCAAGACACACATATATGGACACCTGATTTATGATACAGATGCCGCTGCAGAGCAGTGGGGAAAAGATCTTTCAGCAAACCCAGATCTTTCAGCACTGGGTGATTTGGATGCAGACTCCTGACCCCTACCTCACATCATATTTAACAAGGCAGGACCACACCTGCACTGGCTCAACCCTTCATTGGCTCCCAGTCACTTCTCAGGCTACTTACAAAACTGGAATGCCCCATAAAACTCAGCCATCAACCTGTATGTTGGAGGGGAAACACACCTATCTCAGACAGGCTAAGAAGAGAATAAGGAACAAATCTACCTTATACCTTATCAGAGAAAACAGAATGAATGGCTAAACAGTAAGAGCATGGGGCCGGGCGCGGTAGCTCAAGCCTGTAATCCCAGCACTTTGGGAGGCCAAAGCGGGTGGATCACGAGGTCAAGAGATTGAGACCATCCTGGTCAACACGGTGAAACCCCGTCTCTACTAAAAACACAAAAAATTAGCTGGGCATGGTGGCGTGTGCCTGTAATCCCAGCTACTCAGGAGGCTGAGGCAGGAGAATTGCCTGAACCCAGGAGGCGGAGGTTGCGGTGAGCCGAGATTGCGCCATTGCACTCCAGCCTGGGTAACAAGAGCGAAACTCCATCCCAAAAAAAAAAAAAAAACAGTAAGAGCATGCAAATAAAATTAACTCTAGTGAGTGCTAGTTCATCCCACCCATACACTCCCTTCCTCATAGAAGCACCCATTCCCCAGCTGGGCTCTCTGCTGAAGAAAGCTGTCTGATAGTAGCATGTCTACTCCCTGAGCATAGCCTGCATTTTAACTGTTGGTCTCTGCAGGGGCCTAACGGCTACACCCCAGCCCCAATTCAGGACAGCTCTGCAGAGCCAGTCTGGCTCTAGAGCCCCTAGGACAAGGCCTTTCCTGTAACTGCATCAGAGCTCGACTTTTCCCTCTGCCTAATTCAGCTTCCCAGGATCACTTTCCAACACACTTCCTAAGCCTCTGAGAACACAACCTGTAACATTAAGCAAAATCACAAGGCAACAATATAAACAAACAGTAAAACAACAACAAAAAGCGGTCACATAGCTGGGCACGGTGGCTCACACCTGTAATCCTGGCACTTTCAGAAGCTGAGGGGGTGGATCACCTGATGTCAGGAGTTCGAGACCAGCCTGATCAACTATGGAAAACCCCCGTCTCTACTAAAAATACAAAAATTAGCCGGGCATGGTGGTGGGCACCTGTAATCCCAGCTACTTGGGAGGCTGAGGCAGGAGAATGGCTTGAATCCAGGAGGTGGAGGTTGCAGTGAGCTGAGATCACACCACTCACTGCATTCCAGTCTGGGCGACAGAGTGAGACTTTGTCTACAAAAAATTAATTAATTAATTAATTTTGAAGAAATAAACAGTAAAACAACAACAAAAAGACGCACAGACGGTAAGACAAAGAGCCCAGCCTAGAAGAAAATATAATGCATGGAGGAGAAGGAAGTCTTCCTAATTGCTTCAGGCCACAGAACACCTCAGAAATAATAAAACCAAAAAAAACAAGAGCTCAAAGTTAAGTTGATGAGAGAGTCAAAGGAGATGAAAAGAAGGCATGCAGACCTAAGGAAACCAACCGAGGATCCCACAACCTAACTGCCACATGAGGAAATACCTCTAGAAACACCCAGGAGCTAAATGGCCACTGCTGGAAATGGAATCATCAACACCTGAGGTGATCATAGTGCATGCAGAAGAAAACTCTAAAAGATCAATCAGTCTGGGAGACAGAAAACCACCACCATACAGGGCTAGTTACTGGACCTCGACTTTAGAAGACTATATTCCATAACTTTATATTGAATTCTACTCTATAATTAAAGTTGAATCACCTTACTGAGTTATTAAACTACTCAATAGGCCAAATGCTGTGGCTCACGCCTTTAACAGCACTTTGGGAGGCTGAGCAGCTGGATCACCTGAGATCAGCCTGACCAACATGGTGAAACCCCATCTCTACTAAAAATACAAAAATTAGCCAGGTGTGGTGGCACACACCTGTAATCCCAGCTACTCAAGAGGCTGAGGCAGGAGAATCGCTTGAACCCAGGAGGCAGAGGTTGCAGTGAGCTGAGATCGTGCCACTGCACTCCAGCCTGGGCAACAGAGTGAGACTCCATCTCAAAAAAATATGAAAATAAAACTGAAACACGGGGTCTAAAGGAAACACAATGACCTTAGGTTTTTAATATTTTTTTACTGATCTTAGACCTCTTAAATTTAGAGGGATCATTCAAGACTTTTTTTTTTTTTTTTTTTTTTTTTGAGATGGAGTTTCACTCTGTCTCCCAGGCTGAAGAACAGTGATGCAATCCCCACCCACTGCAACCTCTGCTTCCCAGGTTCAAGCAATTCTCCTGCCTCAGCCTCCCAAGTAGTTGGAACTACAGGCGTACGCCACCACATCCAGCTAATTTTTGTATTTTTAGTAGAGAGGGGGTTTCACCATGTTGGTCAGGATGGTCTCAATCTCTTGACCTCATGATCCACCTGCCTCAGCCTCACAAAGTGCTGGGATTACAGGTGTGAGCCACCACGCCCGGCCCTTTTAAGACATATTAATCTTTGTAATGAAGAAAAATATATTTGAAAGTCAGTCATTCTTTCAGTTGAAGTTCTATTTCTCTTTTCTCCATTCAATTCAGTTAAAACTAAATTTCATATACACATGCTATGACACTCCCCATCTAAATAACTCTTCAAGTGCAGCCAGCATGACTCACTGTGGCCACTCCTGATACGATTCGAGATGAAATTCCCAGGGTGGGTATCAAGTATTCCTGCCAAAAAATGTTTCAACCAAATGAAATCGATTCTTTAGATCTAACTTTCAGTTAGAAAATAGCAGAAGATAAGTTAATTGAGACTTCAAAAAATAAATTGGACAATCCAAAATGTGGGACATTTTACAAAACAACTGGTCCAGGCTTTTCAAAGTCAGTATTATGTGGAGGGGGCGATATAGGGAACTTTTCTACATTAAAAGAAACTAAAAAGACAAACCGGTATGTATTGCATGAGCCTTGATTGCATCATAAAACCATAAAAACATCTTTGGGACAATTGGCATTGTGGGGGGAAAAGGAGAAATGAAACTTTTTATCTAAGGAATTATCCGGCAAAGAGAGGCTCTGGAATGTAACAGTAGTCATATCACTCCTCTTTGAGCTAAATAATTACCTCTTAAAGCCACTTGCTATGTGGGAGCTAGACTGATACCAAGTAGCCACAAAATGTCACACACCCTATAGTTGGACAATGTGTAGCCAATTACTAACCAATGTTATTTCTGCCAACCAGTGAGAATTCCTGACAAACCACTTTGTAATCACCCCTCCCTGATTTGTCCTTTTTTTCTTTAAAAACTTGAGCCTCTCTTTTGTTCTCCTGAGCACTCCCCAAAGAAACCTGTAATTATTTCAAGTGTCGCAGGCTGCAGTCTTCAACCTCAGCCCAAATCAGCTCTCTGTATTAATTTTGCCTCAGCTTCTTTTTAGGTAGACCAGATGATTATAGATTTATTTGGTAGTAGATGATTTTAGGAAGTTATCGTTAAGTTTGTTAAAAGTGAAATGATACTATATAGGAGAATGTCCTGAGGCCTCAGGAGAGGCGAACTGAAGTATTTGACAGGGCAGTGCTCTGAGCTTACAACTTACTTTCAATGGCTGGAGGGAGTCTCAGTACTGTGTGTTCACTCTCCTTTATTTCTCATTTTCAGTATGCTTGAAACTTTTCACAATAAAAAGTTTGGGGGAGGAGGAATCTAAGTAATCCTCATAAAAGTTAAATAATTAGGCCAGGCATGGTGGCTCATGCCTGTAATCCAAGCACTTTGGAGGCCAAGGCGGGCGGATCACCGGAGGTCAGGAGTTCAAGACCAACCTGACCAGCATGGTGAAACCCCGTCTTAAAAAAAAAAAAAAAAAAAATTAAAAAAGAAAAAAAAAGTTAAATAATTAAATTAAAGCCCCCTTCTTTTCAACTTTTTTTTGGATTAAAGAAGATAATTTACAAATACATAGCTTTTATAATATGAATCAATTTTTATAAAAAGTAATTCATTTATGTTTGTCTCCATCTATTTATCTGTATCCATCCATCCACCCAAAACGATATGTGAAACTGTTGCCTCGTGTGCATTATAGTAAATTTTTTATAATCTCACCCTAATATTTCTATTTTGTTTGAATTCTTTATAATAATCACAACAGAATAACTTTTCTTCCAAAAGGTACTGATGGCCAGGCATGGTGGCGAATACCTATAATCCCAGCACTTTGGGAGGCTGAAGCGAATAGATCACCTGAGGTCAGGAGTTCAAGACCAGACTGGCCAACATGGTGAAACCCTGCCTCTATTAAAAATACAAAAATTAGCTGGGCGTGGTGGTTGGTCCCTATAATCCCAGCTGCTCAGGAGGATGAGGCAGGAGGATTGCTTGAACCCAGGAGGTGGAGGTTGTAGTGAGCCAAGATTGTGCCATTGCACTCCATCCTGGAAGACAAGAGCAAAACTCTGTCTCAAAAAAAAAAAAAAAGTATTAATTCTAGGTAGTGGGAATTATTATTGTCTTCTTTGCTCATTTCTGTATCCCTAATGTTTTAACTGAGTTCTTGCAGGTGTGAACATGAGAAAGTGAAGATCCTGTGGACAGAACTCTTTCAAGAGTCTTCTGATTCTGGCTGGATGCTGTGGTTTAGGCCTGTAATCCCAGCACTTTGGGAGGCCGAGGCAAGTAGATCACTTGAGGTCAGGAGTTCGAGACCAGTCTGGCCAGCAAAGCGAAACCCCATCTCTACTAAAAATACAAAAGTTAGCCAGCAGTGGGACACAGTGGCTCATGCCTGTAATCCTAGCACTTTGGGAGGTCAAGGCAGACAGATCACTTGAGGTTAGGAGTTTGAAACCAGCCTGGCCAACATGGTAAAACCCTGTCTCTACTAAAAATACAAAAATTAGCCAGGAGTGGTGGTGGGCACCTGTAATCCCAGTCACTCAGGAGGCCAAGGCAGAATTATTTGGACCCAGGAGGCAGAAATTACAGTGAGCCGAGATCATGCCACTGCACTCCTAAGTTTGATATGCACTTCTGAGTCCTGATATGGCTGCTGTTACATTCCAGAGCCTCTCTTTGCCTGATAATCCCATAGATAAAAAGTTTCTTTTCTTCTTTTCCCCCTACAATGCCAATTGTCCTGGGATTACCACGCCCGGCTAATTTTTGTCTTTTTAGTAGGGACGGGTTTTCACCATGTTGGCTGGCCAGAGCTGGTCTCGACCTCCTGACCTCAAGTGATCCACCTGCCTTGACCTCCCAAAGTGCTGGGATTAAAGGTGTGAACCACTGCGCCCGGCCATGGGGTCAACAATTTAAAAGCAAACCAGCCAGCCAGATGTGGTTTTTGGCTCAAGAGCTGTTCAAGTGCTGAAAGAAGCAAGCAGAAGACAAGTGGATGCCGAGGTGAGAGGAAAGGAGTCTCACGTGTCCTTCCTAGAGTGGCTCTCAGCGGACCAAGCAGGGAAACAATGCCAGGAGGCGCAGTCACAGCAACAGGAAGGGAGTAAGGAGGAGATCCGGGGAGGCCAAGCGTGGACAGCCTGCAGGGGAGATCTCGGAGAGGGGCGGTTACTTGCGTTACCACTGATCATCCGAAATGGGCCACTGTTATCATATCAAACTAAAACAGTAACCAGGTAGGAAAAGCACTCAGGGTACAAACCGTTGCTCCCGGAATGTAACTCTCTGCAAGCCCAACTGCTGGAACTGCTTGTTGTAACCTGAGACCAGTTTTATCTCTAGCTTCTGAGACCACGTGCTGCAGCTTCGGGACTCATTTTACCCATCACCTTCGCTCACCAGTCAGAGCCTGCCAGCTCCCCGAACCCTGACAGTGCCAATCATCTTTCTCCCAGCACCGTACGTAACATTTCTTCTTTTCCAATAAAACCTCGAACCTAGGCCGGGCGCGGTGGCTCAAGCCTGTAATCCCAGCACTTTGGGAGGCCGAGGCAGGTGGATCACGAGGTCAAGAGATCGAGACCATCCTGGTCAACATGGTGAAACCCCGTCTCTACTAAAAACACAAAAAATTAGCTGGGCATGGTGGTGCGTGCCTGTAATCCCAGCTACTCAGGAGGCTGAGGCAGGAGAATTGCTTGAACCCAGGAGACGGAGGTTGCGGTGAGCCGAGATCACGCCATTGCACTCCAGCCTGGGTAACAAGAGTGAAACTCCGTCTCAAAAAAAAAAAAAAAAAAAACCTCGAACCTTCTCTTTGTTCCTCAGACATACCAAAGACCACCGAGATTGCATGTATGACTCACATTGCAATTCTTTCTTCCCAAATAAAACATCAAATTCAGAGCCTTGTCTCCACACTTTTATTCTGATTTTGACACTTGTGAGGAGAGGGTCCTGGCAGCAGAGAGGGTCGTGGGAAGCAGGATTCAGGAGAGTTTGCTGGTGATCAGAGTAGACTGTGACAGCTCAGCATGTGAACCCTGAAACCACAGGAAAGCTGACCGGAGCTAGGTGGAGAGGAAGGCTAAGATTAACAGAATCAGTCACCAGAAGCTCAGGCACCATTTTACAAAGGGCAGAAAGGATAGCACATCCAGAGTCTCAACAGAGCATGAGCAGCTGGGAGCTAGGAGGACCCAAGCTCATCTCCTGGCCCAGGTCTGGTGGGTGAGGCAAAGAGCCAGCTCCATCAAGGGGGCTCAAGGGAGCAGCGCCTTCAGGACAGAGCCACGTTTTCATTAAAGTAAGAGCACATTAGGAGTTGCTTTTGGTTTGGGATATAGAATTCCAGTTCCCACCACTGAAGATTCCAGCTTAGTAGCTTTTATTAAAAAACAAAAACATGCCGGGTGTAGTGGCTCATGCCTGTAATCCAAGCACTTTGGAGGCCAAGGCGGGCGGATCACCTGAGGTCGGGAGTTCAAGACCAGCCTGACCAACATGGTGAAACACCATCTTTAATATAAATTAAAAATTAAAAAAAAAAAAAAAAAAAACACCTCTCCAAGTGATTCAGACTACTGGGCAGGTCTGGAAATTACTGTGTCTAGTCTGGGCGTGATGGCTCATGCCTGTAATCCCAGCACTTTGGGAGGTCAAGGCGGGTGGATCATGTGAGCCCAGGAGTTCGGGACCAGCCTGAGCAACATATTAAGACTCCATTTCTACAAAAAAAAAAAAAAAAAAAAGGCCGGGCGCGGTGGCTCAAGCCTGTAGTCCCAGCACTTTGGGAGGCCGAGGCGGGTGGATCACGAGGTCAAGAGGTCGAGACCATCCTGGTCAACATGGTGAAACCCCGTCTCTACTAAAAATACAAAAAATTAGCTGGGCATGGTGGCACGTGCCTGTAATCCCAGCTACTCAGGAGGCTGAAGCAGGAGAATTGCCTGAACCCAGGAGGCGGAGGTTGCGGTGAGCCGAGATCGCACCATTGCACTCCAGCCTGGGTAACATGAGTGAAACTCCGTCTCAAAAAAAAAAAAAAAAAAAAAACAATTGGCTGGGCATGGTGGTGTGCACCTGCAGTCCTAGCTGCTCAGGAGGCTGAATTTGGAGGACTGCCTGAGCCAGCAGAGATTGCAGTGAGCTGAAATTACGCCTGGGTGACAGAATAAGATCCTATCTCAAAAAAGATATCAAGCCTTGGGATGCATAATAAACATATATAGCAAATACTGAGCAAATATTTGTTGAAATGAATACAGCAAAGTTAGACATTTTTATTAAGCATTATTAGTAAATTATTCCATGTCATAGACTAGGCGTACAATATTGAAACGGAAAAGTCCAGCTAGGTGTGGCGGTTCCACACTAGTAAACTTAGCACTTTGGGAGGCTGAGGCAGGAGGATTACTTGAGCCCAGGCATTTGAGACTAACCTGAGCAACATAGCAAAACTCCATCTCTGTAAAAATGAAAAATTCAAAACAAAATTTTTTTTAATTCAAAAATTATCCAAGAGTGGTAGCGCACACCTGTAGTCTCAGCTACTCAGGAGGCTGACGTGAGATCACCTGAGCCCAGGAGGTAGAGGCTTCTGTGAGCCTTGATCGTGCCACTGCACTCCAGCCTGCGCGACAGAATAAGACTCGATCTCAAAAGAAAGAAGAGAAAAAAATCCACAACTCCAGAACAATTATACAACCCTTATGAGCCTGATCCCAAAGGACCAAGAGCGCAATCAAGCCAGGCACAGGGGGTCATGCCTAAAATTCCAACCCTTCAGGAGGCCAAGATGGACAGACTGCATGAGCCCAGGCGTTTGAGACCAGAATGGGCAACAGGGCAAGAACCCCTCTCTACAAAAATACGTATCTATACAAAAATTAGCCAGGTGTGGTGCTGCACTCCTGTAGTCTCAGCTACTCAGGAGGCTGAGGTGGGAAGATCACTTGAGCACAGAGGTAGAGGCTGAGATGAGCTGTGATGGTGCCACTGCACTCTAGTCTGGACAACAGAGCGAGACCCTGTCTCAAAAAAAAAACAACAGCATAACCAACTGGCCACAAACTCTTAAATGCCCTTATTTTCCCCTCTCACCCCAATAGGTTCTCACAGTTCACAGCCTTCAAAGGCCTCTCTGTCCAACCAGGTAAATCTGGCATTACAATGAATACAAAATGAACCAATCACTAAGATTACCCATTTGTTTTGTACCCAGACCAGAAACTATCTGCCCAAAAAGAAAGAGAAAAAAGCATCCCCTGAGCTACATTCCCACGACCCCGTGAATTAGGTAACTACCAAAAGGTCCTTTCTTCTATCCCACAACACAACATTCTGCCCTCACACAGCTCATGCTTGGATCCGATTTCTATGGTTTCTTGTAACCACATCACCCCAGCCCTCCCCCGTCAATAATGTGTGCTTAAAGCATTCGGAGAGGAAACAATGAACAATGTTATGTGACAAGGGTTCTCCAACTGTGTATTACATTACAGAAATGTTGAATGTTTATTTAAAAGGATTATGAGGGTTTTGACCTTCCTAAGGCAAGAATTCAATTTTCTCCTTCAATCATGAAACTCAACAATTTAAAGATGGATAGGCTAGAGCCTTTCTTCCTTTTTCTTTCTTTCTTTCTTTCTTTTTTTTTTTTTTTTTTGAGACAGAGTCTTGCTCTGTTGCCCAGGTTGGAACACAATGGCGCTATCTCAGCTCACTGCAACCTCCACCTCCCAGGTTCAAGCGATTCTCCTGCCTCAGCCTCCCGAGTAGCTGGGATTGTAGGCACCTGCTACCACGACTGGCTAATTTCTGTATTTTTAGTAGAGACAGGGTTTCACCATGTTGGCCAAACTGGTCTCGAACTCCTGACCTCAGGTGAGCTATCTATTCCCCTTGGCCTCCCAAAGTGCTGGGATTACAGGCGTGAGCCACCACGCCCGCCTTTGTTTTTTTGTTTTTAATCCTGTTTGTTTTCATTTTCCTTCATTAGCTTCAGTGTCAAATGCTCCAGGTTTAGGTACAGTATGTTGGTGTTCATTTCCTTGAGGTAGGGTTGTGTTTCCATGGACACCAGGCAGCAGGCTGCAACACACTGGAGAGACCTTGTCAAGAATACCGACAGCCACAGGATCACCAAAAAATACCCCCAATCCACCCCTTCCTTTTACCTCTGCTGCTATGGCTGCCCAGTCCACACCATCTTTACCTGGAACCCTCTCCAGCCCCTCTCCCTGCCGCCAGTACTGTCAGTTCTCTACTCGCCATCAGCCAGTGAGATCTCTTTTTTTTTTTAATTGCATTTTAGGTTTTGGGGTACATGTGAAGAACATGCAAGACTGTTGCATAGGTACACACATGGCAGTGTGATTTGCTGCCTTCCTCCCCATCACCTACATCTGGCATTTCTCCCCATGCTCTCTCTCCCCAACTCCCCACCCCCCGCTGTCCCTCCCCTATTTCCCCCCAAAGAGAGATCTTTTTAATCACACAAATTGTGTCAGGTCACTCCCATGTCCTAACCTTCTAAGGGACTTCCAGTTGCATTTTGCATGAAACTAAAACTATCCAGTCTCATCCTTCCAGCCTGGTCCCAGATATCTGCTCTCAACACAGCAGCCAGAGTGATTTAGGTAATGTAATTCCCCTGTCCAACACTTTGCGTGGCTGCCACCTCACTCAGAGCTGACGCCAGAGCCCTCACAGTGGCCTCCAAGGCCCCACACAGGCCAGCAATCCATTACTCTCAGACCCCATGTGGTACCATTCCCATTCAAACCCTTCACTCCCCCAGGCCTGGAATGCTCTTCCCCCGTCCCCCAGTGCGGCTTATGTCCCCACCTTACTCCGGTCTTGGCTCCAATGCCATCTGCTCCTGAGGCTCCACTGATCACGCTCACATGGCATACTCCCCCCTCCCTCTCTCCCTCACTCTCTCTCCTGTTTTATTTTTTCCCCAGCACCTTGGCCACATCTGACATAATGTAAATATTACTGGCTCATTTACTGGTCCACAAGGATGCAGCTCCAAGAGGTCAGGGATTCCAATCTGCTCTCTGCACTTTTCTTTCCCAAGAACAGTGGGAAAATACTGTTCTCCCCAAACAGTGCTGGCACATCACAGGGCTTAGCAAAAGCTATGGAATGAGAGAAAGCACTGACTCCCACCTTCCCTGCCTACCTCCCTGCCCAGCCACAGTGACTTTCTCTCTGTTCCTCCAGCAGCCAAGCTCATGCCCACTTCAGCACATTGCACACTTCTGCCTGGAATGCTCTGCCCCTCCTGTCAGATCTGAAAGTGTCTTGTTTATTCATGAAGCTACTTGTTTATTTCCTGTCTCTACCACTGAAGCAGAATCTCCAGAGCAGGGGCTCTGTGCTGTTCATAGAGGATTCTGTGGTGTTTGCAATGGGTTCAACAGTTAGTAGGTGCTCAGTAAATATCTGTTGGAGGTGCAACCAATCCAGCTTATGTGGGTCTCAGTTTTCTCAAATATAAAATAAAGAATGTGAGACTGGATGAGATAGTTTGCACTTATAATCACAGCACTTTGGGAGACCAAGGCAGGTTTAGAGGCCAGGAGTTTAAGACCAGCTTGGGAAACACACTGAGACCCCACCTCCACAAAAAATAAAAAAATTGCCGGTATAATGGTGCACACTTATCCTATGGTCTCAGCTTCTCTGGAGGCTGAGGCAGAATGACTGCTTGAACCCGGGTGGCTGGGGTTGCAGTGAGCAATGAGTACTATGCTCCAGCCTGGGCAACAGAGTGAAATCCTGTTTAAAATTATATATATATATATATATGTATGTATACGTATATGTATATGTATGCCATATGCTTGCCTTGGCCCCTCAACGTGCTGTGATTACAGTTGCAAACCACCTCATCCAGCCTCAGCATTCTTAGTTTATATTCGAGAAAACTGAGACCCACATAAGCTCAATCGGGACACATATATATAAATAAGAAAGCTGATACTCTAAGATACTCTCTAGCAAAGATACTCTCTAGGTCTCTTTGGGCTCTGAAATGTTGATGGTACATTCTTGCAACACAGTAGAGTTTACAAAGAGCCTTCATGTATAACAGCTCATGCAGAGCCCTGGAAGGTAATTAACACGATTGTAATCATTCAGTTTTTGCATCCGAAAAAAATTGCTGACTGTGCGACTGGTCCAAAGCGACAGCTGTTAACCGGCAGAGCTGAGGCTAAATCCACAGTTTTGTCAGTGCCGCTACAATGCTAGCAGAATTAAGCAGGATTTTCTAGTCCTTACAAATAGGTTCAAGGCAATCACAAGTTTGCTGGTTTACTTCACACTAACCCAAAAAAGTACTTCATATGAACTTCCAATTGTTTTTCCGAGCTTTCCGCGAACTCGCTGGTCATTTGAGAACCAATAGTCAATCAATACAAACAGACTTACAGGCACGGGAATACCTGACCGTTGAACATCAGGATCTGTGAGGCAGGCATGTGAACCCCTGTTTTCAGCTCGCCGGGTGTGTGAAATCATGTCTGAGCGCCACCAGCCCGCCCGGGACGGGGCGCCTGGCAGCAGAGCCGGCGCGCTCAGGAAGAGAACGACTTTCTCAGGTTGTGGCCTGAGTGCAGAAATCTGCCCAAGTTCAGGAGGGCGCCTGGGAAACTCGGCCAATGCGCCCAGCTGAGACTCCAGGGTTCCCGTCCCCACCCGCCCTGGCCCGGGAGCGGCCGAAGCGCAAGGAGGGCAGGGGCAGCCCCGCGCTCCCGCAGACCCCCCAGCCCCGGCCTGCCTCACCCGTAGGTGGTCAGCAGCGCCTTGTTGACCAGCACGATGAGGAAGGAGCAGGTCCCGTAGAAGAGCGCCGACAGCAGCCTGACCACCCGCGAGGGCAGCCGCGCCGCGCCGGGCTCCGCGCCCGCGCCCTCGGCCTCGGCCTGGCCGCCGGCAGTCATCTCCCGCTGCCGAGCGGACCCCACCGCCCGCCAGCCTCAGCCGCGCACTGGTCCCGCCCGGCCGGGCCGGGGAAGAGGGCGCGGCAGGAACAGGAAGAGCCCGGCGCAACCCCAGGTCCCGGCCCGCCCCCTGAGAGCGCCCCGAAGCCGGCGCTGGAGGCCCCTGCGCGCTGGGCTTCACCCTGGCTCCAGGCACCTCCTTCGGTCTCCAGGGCCAGAAACGCGTTGAAGAGTCGAAAAGCGCTGCCTTCTTCCAGACTTCCCTGGGGAGAAACGCTTCAGCAAGTCTCAGGGCCTGTTCTGCTTTTTTAATTTTTCCTACAGCTTTTTTGTTTAGCTTTTCATTGACGTACAATGAAATGTACACATCTTGCCAGTCCACAGTTTGAGATGAGCCTCGGCAAGGGCATCCACCCGAGCTAACTTCTGAAAGTTCTCTTCGCTACCCCTTTGGAGTTAACGCCCGCATCTCATCGCCATTGCTGTCAGTTAGGTTTGCCTTTTTCGCAATTTCAAATGAACAGGGTGCTTTCTAGAATTTATGAATGAGCATGTGCTCTCAGGGTTTTTCAGTCCATGTGTTAGATTCGCCCATGTGGTTTGTTTCATTGTTGAGCAGTATCACAAATTGTGTATCCATTGGTTGTTTCCAGCTTAGGACCATTAGGAAAAATGCTCCCAGGAAAATTCGAACGTTTGTGGGACCTGTGTTTTCATTTCTCTTCAATAAGTATCTAGGAGTGGCGTGGCTGAGAGTAAGGTGGGTGAAGCCTTGGGACTTGGGTGTCCGCTGGGTGCTTTGTGGGAGGTCCACTCCTCACGGTGGGCCCTTTGCCTTTGCGCCACGTCAGTTGAAGAACTTCTCAGAACTGCCTACTCTCGTCTTTAAAAATATAAACTTAGGCCGCGCGCGGTGGCTTAAGCCTGTAATCCCAGCACTTTGGGAGGCCGAGGCGGGTGGATCACGAGGTCAAGAGATCGAGACCATCCTGGTCAACATGGTGAAACCCCGTCTCTACTAAAAATACAAAAAATGAGCTGGGCATGGTGGCGCGTGCCTGTAATCCCAGCTACTCAGGAGGTTGAGGCAGGAGAATTGCCTGAACCCAGGAGGCGGAGGTTGCGGTGAGCCGAGATCGCGCCATTGCACTCCAGCCTGGGTAACATGAGTGAAACTCCGTCTCAAAAAGTAAATAAATAAATAAAACAAAAATATAAACTTATAGCTTCTTAGAAAACCTGAATATTCCAAGTTAAATAAAAGTTGGGGCCTAACTGCATAGACGCGCAGAGAATTGTTTTTCTAAGGCACTGAACAACGAGGAAAATGAAAACTGAGAAACATTTTCAGCCCTGATAAGAACTAAAGCAGAACGTGTAAAAATAGCACTGAAAAGACCAGAACCCAAGTTACCGAAAACAAGAAAGAAAAAAAAAAAAAGACATGTAAGTCCATTTTAAGAGAAAATGAATTCATATTAAAGTTGAACAGTCATTTTGGTTAATTTCCTCAGAACATTCAGTGTTCTTGTGAGTCCCCAAATGTTTCGACTGCAAAAAGAATATTTTAAAGTCACCTTTAATGATGGCCTTCATCATAATTGCATTTAATTTGCTTGTATATACATACTTCCAGGACCTTACCTGTCAAAATCTCATCCTTACTAACTGTTTAAACCGCAGCTCACACTAAGGAGTTGCTTGTGATATTCTGCTGCACAAGGGTAGGACAGACTGACCCTTGCTATTGCGAATACATAACTAAAGATCTACCAGAAATAACCGATGAAAAAAGAAAGAAAAATACACAGGCTTTAAGAGGATTCTTGAGGAGGTGACCCCAGAGTCAACCCATCCTAAATATAAGTGAAATGAAATCCCAGTTCCTTATTACCCTAGTTTAAGGCCTGGGGATGGGGTGGCAATAGTTTAATACTTATCCACAGCAGCAGTATGTTTTTAATACTATAGTAATGAACCAGATAAGGAAGTTAAACATCTATAATCTTAAAGGCCATAATTAAAGTAAGAAAAACAATTCACACTGTAATTATAACTATGCAAACATGTACTGAAATAATGCTGATGGATGAACATAAGACTGTTGGTGATGTTGCTATCATTTAAAATTTTTCATATCATGGTTACTATATTTTTGATAGGAAAACAAATTATACAGGCTTTAAGAATTACCATGTACTTCAAATTTTAAATTAAAATAAATTTTTATTCAAAGCATCCTTTAAAATTACAGCATGTTTATTCTTATGCTGTTAACTCTGCCAAGCTACATCTTAGCCATATGAAGCATAAAACACTTCCAAAATTTGAATGTAAACCACATTTTTTAAAACAAAAAGCAGTCTTAACACACCTCAAATTTTAGATACCAATTTTATCCAAGTATATAGCTTATATCAAAAGAGAACATTTTAAATGTTTCTATAGCAAATAGTTGTAGTAATTTCTTAAACTGTTGTAATTATACAAATAAAACATGTTTATGAAAAACCTATTTGTTGACTGAAGCTGAGTGGAGAAACAAAGAAAACCCTTACTTTTGAAGGCCTTAAATGTTATCGTCTGTGAGTTGGCAAATATTTGTATTTGAAAACTTCTTACTACCCTTTAGTTAAGATGATCAAAGTTTAAATTTCCTAAGACTGATGAGTGTTGTTTTTAGTTCATTAAATCACGTATTTGAGAAGAAAACTTCTAGAGGAAATGCTGAAACATAAACCAAGGCAATTCAGATGCTATAGTCTCTCTTACCAGCTTGTAAGTGCTCCAAATTAAAATTCTATATACCACATTAAAAACAAAATTCTTAGACCATTACAAATATAAATTCTCTTATTTAAAAAAAAAAACCCTAAAGATTTGTAATTTACTGCACAGAGGAATTACATTTTTAAAGTATGTCCTCGTCATACACATTAAATCCCTAAAGATTTGTAATTCACTGCACAGAGGAATCACATTTTAAAGTATGCCCTCGTCATACACATTAAATCCCTAAAGATTTGTAATTCTCTGCACAGAGGAATCACATTTTAAAGTATGCCCTCGTCATACACATTAAATCCCTAAAGATTTGTAATTCACTGCACAGAGGAATTACATTTTAAAGTATGTCCTCGTCATACACATTATTGGTACTATCACATCTCCTTTCATACTTCTTCTCCTCTTCCAAGACATTGACATGCCTCCCCTTCCCCAAGGCTACATATTTTAAACTATCTGTGTACTGTGACACATTGGGATTTTTGGATAAAGAAGCCTACTTTCTAATGTTTAAACTACATCTGTAGGAACCCTTTCAACTCAAAAAAGCTAAAAAGGCACTGAAGAGCCCATATTTCCCTCTACTACTATGAGTTTTACTCCAATTAAGCAATCTGTAAATTACCATGCTATGCATGTCAAAAGCCAAAATGATGGAAGTTTTTGCCTACGTAAAGGAGGTGGTCTGCTCAGCTCTTGATTTTTCTGTTCATGCTTCAGTCATAAAGTGGTGTTTAACTTTATTTAGAAAAATGGCTTAAAACCACCATACAAGTTAACACACTTGCAGTTAAAACTATTTCAGAAGCCTACTTATTTGAGTAGCTAATATTTTCTGCAGTGTTTAACTGATAGCTAAATTTAGTGAACATAAAATAGCTTGGCATGTTACTCTGAAGTAAAGCAAGAAAGTGGCTTTATGCACTGAAAATATAAATATGGAGGCTTCAATTTTCTAATAATTCTAAACAAGCAGTACAATTAAAATGTAGTGTTTGCTAACAAAAGATCTAAAACATTTCACTACAAAACAACCCTGTAGGTGTCCCTTTAGTAAAAATCCAAGTGCCAAATCTCATTACAGGGCCCTTAATGTTACTTTTAAAATTAACAATCACTATGTTACCTAGACTTTGCAAGATTAATCACTCAATTTCAGCCAATAAGAAATATGAAATGTGCAAAAGTTCCCAAGTTAACATGCTAGGGATGACAAGCGCTTTTCAAACTTAAACATTATACTGAGTTGTAAAGCCCCAGAAAGATAGAATAAGACTGATTTTGCTCCAATTTCAAAAATTCTGAGCTATTGTGCATCTTACCAAGATCTTCAAATATCTATTTTCTTCTAAGTCCATTACTTAGAACATCTTCCAAAATAGCCTTCCATTTCTCTAGCCTTAGTGGGCGCAGTATTTTGCAATTTAAAATTATCTATCTTACATATCTTATACTTTCTTGCTTGCTTCAGTGTTTACAGTATTGTTAAACATACCAATATACATTGTTAAAAATGATCTTATAAATAATCTGTTTCAACCTTCTTTGGTTATTTGTACCATTCCGTTTTTTATGCAAGTGTCTTATTCAGAAAGTGCTTCCTGTGAGAACTACTTCCAATGAATGCATTAAACTTGCAAAATCTAGCTTCCCACAATCTGTCATTTTCTACCCTGTACTGTGCAGTCCATATTTACAAAATATTTTAAACTTTACATCAAATCTATTTCCATATAAAAAAAGTGCATTTCTCTCTCACCCCATATTCTGGGGCAATAACATTCTTCATAAATTTCTACAGAATAGCAGCCTATGATAAGCAAATAAGGTGCTGAGCTTATGCCCAAGGATCTACTTTTTAAGTACACTGGGCAGTAATTCTGTACAGTGGAACAGTCAGTGTCCAGGCTACTGTCGGAGTGGCGCCCCAGTCAGGTTGGCAAGCTCTATGAGCGCGAGGGCTCCATGCAGGCGCTCCCGCTGCTCCTGCAGCCGGCGCTGGGCCCCCCTCTTCTCGTCGTCCTCTTCATCAGACTGAAGGTATTCCAGAGGGTCCTGCTGCTCCTGATCAGCCTTCTGAACCAGCTTGCTTTTCAAGGTAGGAGTGCGCTGCTCTCTCATTTCCCAATACCTATGTGAAATGCAGCTGAATTAGTTACATGGCAGACATGAAATGCCAAATGTTTACTTTTCTTTTAAAAAAGTTCTGTACCACAATATTACTTTTATGTGATTCAGTTTATAAAGTTATAAAGCGATTTAACGTACATTTCTTATTTATAGAGGAAAGAAACTGAAGTTCAACAAGGTTAAGAGATGTGCTCAGGTTTCTATAATAAACCTGGCAGTTCTAGATCTTCTACTCGCTCTCAAATCACGTTTTTGCCATTAAACTATTGCTGCCTTAAAGATCCTGTGTGAAATGGACTAGAGTAAAATATAGAAATAGTAGAAAAAACAGTCTTTAGAAACTTATTTATCCTATCCACAGAGGGATGGTAACTGACAGCGTTAACTCTGTAAAGTATTAGAGTCACAGGCTATGACAAAGTGATTAAGATCTGGGACAGAGTTTATTCAAAAACTTGAAAACACTACCCTTATTCTACTACAAAGCCAACTGATAATTTACAAGAGAAAATGCAAATATTCAACTCTTTGGTAACTTAAAAAATGCATATTTAAATGACAGTAACAGAACATACAAAAAAAAAAAAAGCCTTGTATGTTAATATTCATAGTAGCTTTATATGTAATAGCCAAAAATAACCCAAATGCCCATCAACAAGTAAATGAATAAACAAACTACTTTTGTATAAAACTACTATTTTACAGTGACAGCAGATCGGTGTTGTTTGAAGAGAAGGGGAACAGGGAGGAATGTGTGGTTCAGGTCACAGGGGGGCATGAGGAAACTTGGAAATGATGGATATATTCACCATCTTGATTGTGGAGATGGTTTCACAGTATATACATATGTCAAAATGTATCAAACTGTACACTTTAAAATGTGTCAAACTGTATACTTTAAAATGTATCAAATTGTACACTTTAAATGTAGCATAATCTCTTATATGTCACTTATATACCAACAAAGCGGTTATTTATTTATTTATTGAGACAGAGTCTCACTCCATCGCCCAGGCCGGAGTGCAGAGGCGCAATCTCGGCTCACCACAACTTCCGCCTCCTGGGTTCACGTGATTCTCGTGCCTCAGCCTCCTGAGTAGCTGGGATTACAGGCGCCCGCCATCATACCCAGCTAATTTTGTATGTTTAGTAGAGACGGGGTTTCTCTATATTGACCAGGCTGGTCTCCAACTCCTGACCTCTGGTGATCTGCCCACCTCAGCCTCCCAAAGTGCTGGGATTACAGCTATGAGCCACGGCGCCTGGCCTGTATTTTTAGTAGAGATGGGGTCTTGCCATTTAGCCAGTCTGATCTTGAACTCCTGACCTCAAGTGATCCACCCACCTCAACCAAAGTGTTGGAAGTACAGGCATAAGCCACCACACCAGCCCCAACAAAGCTGTTTTTAAAAATTACACACAAAAAATAATAATACAACTACCAGATTTCAGGAAACCCAGACTACTCAAAGTAGAAAAGTTTTGGCAGTGCCCACAGAGGTCTAAAAAAAGAAGTGCAAGTCGTTCAGTATAACTTGAAGGATGACTAGAAAAGGAGAATGGCAAAAGATAAGTTCAGCCAAGTCAGCAGGAACCAGGTAATGAAGGGCTTTGAATTCCATAATAAAGGGCTTAGCCTTTAGGCTGAGGATCATACTGACGTTTTAGAAAGATCCCTCTGGCAGCAGCATGAAAAACAGATTGAGAGCATTCAAGTGGCTAAATTTGAGTTACTAAGGAGGTAGATGTCATAACTTCGTCACTGAGTAGACAGGAAAAAGACAAGGAGGCCAGGTGCAGTGGCTCATGCCTCTAATCCCAACATTCTGGGAGGCCAAGGTGGGAGAATCACTTGACCCCAGGAGTTCGAGACTAGTGTGAGAACGTGGCAAGACCCTGTCTCTACAAAAAACTTAAAAATTAGGTGGACATGATGGCACACATCTGTGGTCCCAGCTACTCAGAAGGCTGAAGTGGAGGTTCACTTGAATCCAGGACGTCGAGGCTCCAGTGAGCTAATAGTCCTGCTACTACAGTCCAGCCGCAACAAGAGTGAGACCTTGTCTCAAAAAAAAAAAGAAAGACAAGGATGACCAGTAAGCTTCTGGCTTGAACAAAATTAGAAATAATGGGGCAGTAGGAGCCAACCAGGAGAAAGAGGAAGGAAGTGATGGAGATACTTAGTTTAAGGTACCCCTAGAATAGCCCACCTAAACAGACAAGTTCTATGACAGTGCTAACAAATTTCCCTGGACTTGAATAATCAAATAGTATTTCCAGATTCCATTATCTAATTCTTATGTATTTTTATCCAAACGAAACAGAGTGTATTCCTTCAAATATTTATCAAGGCCCATAAGCTATGCCAGGTCCTAGGCTTACAGCAATAAACAAGACAAATATCCCTGCCCCGGGAAGCTTCCAGTCTGGCAGGGAAGGTAGACAATGAACAAATAAAACTGTGATGGATGTTTTTAAAAGGAAAAGGAAAGCATCTGATAAGTGGGTCCCAGGCCATTTGTTTCAGGAGCTGGTGAGCAGGTCAGCGAAGGCTCCCTGAGTAAGAGATGAAGGCGAGCAAGAGGCTAAGTCAAGTGGGGAAGTGCTCCAGGCAGAGGGAGCAGGGTGCACATGGGCCTTGATACAAAGGCAGCTGTGTTGAGAAAGCCACAGCCTGGTGTGACATGGGACAGTTGCCTTACCAGAGGGAGGCGGGGCTTCGGCAGCACGGCTAGAATCCTGGACTTCCCCCTAAGCAGCCAGTGAAGCTTGGGAGAGGCCTGAGCAGCTGCTGCCAGCTTGTGCACAGCAGACAGGGTCTTTCGACAAAAATATACTTACAGAAATTCTTTTATACTGGCCTCCTTGTTGCCATTGGAAAAAATTAAATTGGTATCTTTGGAACCTCAGCTAAAGAGAACCACTAACATCTATCCCTGGTTTTTTTTGAGACAGGGTCTGAGTCTGTCACCCTGGCTGGAGGGTAGGAGTGTAGGAGTAGAGTGGGGCCATCTCGGCTCACTGCAACCTCCACCTCCCAGGCTCTACCGATTCTCCTGCCTCAGTCTCCCAAGTAGCTGGGATTATAGGCACGCACCACTACTGCCCAGCTAATTTTTGTATTTTTAGCAAAGACGGGGTTTCCCTATGTTGGCCAGGCTGGTCTCGAACTCCTGACCTCAAGTCATCCACCTGCTTCGGCCCCCTAAACTGCTGAGATTACAGGTGTGAGCTACTGTGCCCAGCTGTCTATCCCTGTTTTAATTGGCACACAGCTAATGCTAACATAAAGAAAATGAAGAGGGGTAGCATTCATGACAAATGAAACATAATACACATAAAACTTCTTTCAAAATGGGAAAACTCTTTCTTTTAAAATAAACTGTGATCTGCGCACTCTAATTATATTGTAATTTTCTGTCACACACAGATTCTAAGATGCTAATAGAACTCGTAACAATTTTATAGAAAATCAGAGGTCATTTCTAATTACGTTACAAAACGTATATAGACACAGCTTATTTAAAATGACAGGAGTGCCCAAGTCCCTAACATAGCCCAAGCCCACGCTACGCATCTTTGTGGTAGACTGAAGGCAGCATTCCTGACCTTGCCAGCCACTCGGCCGCGGCCTTGTTGTCGGCAGCCTGATGCTTGCTGAGTGTGTCCGTGGGCTCCTCTCTCTTCAGCCTGGCATACGGGTGCTTCGGACAGTGGCGGTTTGCATGGGTGAATCTGCTCAAGCAGCCTTCAAAACACAAGGTTAGCACCTGTCAGGATCTAGACATCCAGCACACAGACATGTGGACAACATTCAGTTTCACTGGTATCCAGAAAGGTACATTAACACGGTGAAATTTAGGATCTATAATTTGGAGGAGAAAACAACCAAACCGGCCTTAGCACAGTCTCATCAATGCCAAAGCAGGGAAGGAAGACAGTCACATTTTGGTCATGGCCATGTGTGTTCAACACCATAGAAAGTGGTTTATTAGCATGAATTCAAAATGTTCAAAATGGAAGGGCATGGTAGCTTATGCCTGTAATCCGAGAACTTTGGGAGGCTGAGGTGGGTGAATCACTTGAGGTCAGGACTTAAGAGACCAACCTGAAAGGCCGGGCGTGGTGGCTCACGCCTGTAATCCCAGCACTTTGGGAGGCCGAGGCGGGTGGATCACGAGGTCAAGAGATCAAGACCATTCTGGTCAACATAGTGAAACCCTGTCTCTGCTAAAAATACAAAAAATTAGCTGGGCATGGTGGCACATGCCTGTAGTCCCAGCTACTCAGGAGGCTGAGGGAGGAGAATTGCCTGAACCCAGGAGGCAGAGGTTGCAGTGAGCTGAGATCGCGCCATAGCACTCCAGCCTGGGTAACAACAGTGAAACTCCGTCTCAAAAAAAAAAAAAAAAAAAGAGACCAACCTGGCCAATGTGGCGAAATGCCATCTCTACTAAAAATACAAAAATTAGTTGGGCATGGTGGCCTGTGCCTGTAAAAAATCTCAGCTACTAAGGAGGCTGAGGCAGGAGAATTGCTTGAACCTGAGAGGGAGGCAGAGGATGCAGTGAGCCAAGATTGAGCCATTGTACTCCAGCCTGGGCAACAGAGCAGGACTCCATCTAGGGGGGAAAAAAAAGTTCAAAACCTTGGACCTGGGAATTCTATTTGTGGAATCTATCACAAGGAAGCATGCAAAAAGACGAATAAAGCTACAAGTGCAAACATTCCCCTCAGCTTTGCTGGTAACAAGAACATTTAAAAAACAAATTAAATATTCAGGCCAGGCGCGGTAATAGGGAGAGAATCAGGCGGGATTACACGCCTGTAATCCCAGCACTTTAGGAGGCCAACGCAGGCAGGTCACCTGAGGTCAGGAGTTTGAGACCAGCCTGGCCAACAGGGTGAAACCCCATCTCTACTAAAAATACAAAAATTAGCTGGACGTGGTGGCACACGTCTATAATCTCAGCTACTCTGGAGGCCAAGGCAGGCGAATTGTTTGAACTTGAGAGGCAGAGGTTGCAGTGAGCCGAGATCATGCCACTGTACTCCAGCCTGGGCGAAAAGCGAGACTCCGATTCAAAACAATAAAATTTTTTAAAAATTAAATAATATTCATTATCCAACATAGAGGAAACCACTGTGTACAGGCTTAAGCAAACTTGCTAGATGAAAAGTTGGCAGACCTTTGCAACATTTGTAATAATCAAGAAAATTACAGAGCAACAAGACAGACTGCACTGAATTTCAAATATGCCGTAACTGCATAAAAGTGTGCATCTTTAGAAACTGATAAAAGATTAAGAAAATCACTTAGGATAATATGCTTACTTCAGTTTAATAAATAAAAAGTTTAAAATGTTGCTCCAAAGGCTGTATTTACTTTAACAGATTTTTCTACTGCCTGCAACTGGATATAGTATGTTTAATTGCCCTTTAAGGTTTCATTAAAAAAGATTACTTTATTTAAAAATCAATCATTTCTTAAGCCAGGCATCATTTGTCTTTCTTAAGAAAGACAAATATCACTTGTTCTCACTTATTTATGGGATCTAATATCAAAACAATTGAACTCATGGAGACAGAAAGTGGAGTAGAACAATGGTTGCCAAGGGCTGGGAAGGGGAGCTAGGAGATGAGGGGAGGTGGGGATGGTTAATGGGTACCAAAAAATAGAACGAATAAGACCTAGTATTTTATAGCACAAGGTGACTATAGTCAATAATAATTTAACTGTACATTCTAAAATAACTTAAGCATATAACTGGATTATTTGTAACACAAAGGACACATGCTTGAGGGGATGGAGAGGCCATTTGCCATGTGATTATTATGCACTGCATGCCTGTATCAAGTACCTCAGGTACCCCATAAATATGTATACCTACTATGTATCTACAAAAATCAAAACAAACAAATTTTCTAAATCATTTCTGAGGAATTCAGCATGGATCACAATTATCAAAGAAGAAAACTTATAAAGTTTTATAAAATTTGTTTTAAAAAAACCTTTCCCCCAAAAAAAAATTCAAGGAAAAGATATTTTAGCTGTTAAGTCACAACTAGTTATTCCATAAACTTAACTTCTAACACCATACCATTTTCTGAGCAAACAAAAGGTTTCTCTCCGGTGTGAAGACGCTGATGTGTTTTGAGCTGTCCGCTTTGAACAAAGGCTTTTCCACAGTCTGGATAGTCACACAGATAAGGCCTCTCACCTAAGTAAATAGATGTTAGATATTATATCTGAGACACTAAGGCTAGAAGAGGAGGGTGAAAGATCATGACTCCCAGTAACAACAAAATGCCACGCTCGCAACTGAGCTGCAGGTGGAAATGCTAACGGCACCACTTGGGTGGCGCCAAGCAGCTATCTGCTGGGGAGCACAATCTATTCTTTAGGCCTTGAGGTTATATTTCTATTTACTGCCCATCTCAACTTAGACTACCCACATTTCAAGTGCTCAGGAGTCATGGTGGCTACTGTACGGGGCGGTGTAGCTCTACACTTAAAGGTATGAGAGACTGATTGTAAGCCAGCAGTAGTTGGATTTTTGGCACCTCAGTTTCCTCACCTGTAAACTGTTAGATGAACTAAAAGGTTCCTTCCTTTGGGGCTAACTTTATAGCAAGAACAAGGGCCCTCTATACACATATATATATATATATATATATTGGCTCTCTAAATGATATTTACAATTTCCATATGCAAATAAAGATATACAATAATCTTGGGATGGCTGCCTACCATAGTTCACCACAGATTTAATGCTTAGGTCAAACGTTCTGATAGCACACTGAAGACTCTAGAAATTCTATTAAAAACTTGACAATTAACTGTTTTTAGCCTACAGATGAATTTTAACAATGACACAGATAAAAGCGTATCAATTAAAATTCAGGTAGGTAGAGGATAAAACTAAATTTGCCAGTAACATGACTATGATATCTAGGTTAATTACCATAACTTGAGGAATCACATGGAGCCGGTATTTGTAGACCGCCACTCTCCACCAAAAAGAAACTGACTATACTGCCTTTTTAGAAAACTTCACAATAGCGGTAATGTAAGAAAATATAAGCCAACTAACAATTTCCCAACCTCAAATCAGCTTTCAGTTAAGTGTTACTTCTGACCAGGCGCGGTGGCTCACGCTTGTAATCCCAACACTTTGGGAGGCCGAGTCAGGCAGATCATGAGGTCAGGAGTTCGAGACCAGCCTGACCAACATGGTGAAACCCCATCTCTACTAAAAATACAAAAATTAGCTGGGCATGGTGGCGGGGGCCTGTAATCCTGGCTACTCGGGAGGCTGATGCAGGAGAATCGCTTGAACCTGGGAAGCAGAGGTTGCAGAGAGCTGAGATCACGCCATTGCACTCTAGCCTGGAGGACAAGAGCGAGACTCTGTCTCAAAAAAAAGAAAAAGAAGTGTTACCTCTGACAGTCTCTATAAAATTTGCTCAACTTACCTGTATGAGTCCTTTTGTGAGCCTGGAGCGATTTCTCCCGTGGAAATACCCTATTACAGATGTTACAACGGATTCTGCTGGATGAATGCTCTCCTTCATTTATTAAATCGCGGACAGTATCTGCTCTGGGTCTACCACGTCGGATTCCATCCTGTTGACAATTTTTGCAAACATTAATATAATCTCTTGAACTGTACTCATTAAAGCAATGTATCATAATATAACTTTTAAAAATCTTTCTTGGGAGCTGGGCACAGCAGCACACACTTGTAGTCCCAGTTATTTAGGAGGCTGAGGTAGGAGTATCGCTTGAGGCCAGGAGTTTGAGGCAACACAGCACAAAACATTTTTGTTTTGTCTCTAAAAACAAAGGAAAAGTCTTTCTTAAGGGACATCAGTGAAAATGGTGAAGTAGATTAACTCTTAACAGCCCATCCCTCCACAGATGACTGAAAAATCAAGCAAAAACTGTCACAATCGGCTTTGTCACAACTGCAGAAAATACATTTATAGCAACTCAGCAAACTGAATCAATAAAAAAGCAACTAAAAACAGTAGAAAAGGTTGGCCGCATGTTGACTTGCCCTCTCTCTTTCCCTACCCCAGTGGCAGTCTTGAAGACAGCAGTCTGCATTCTCATTCTGGGAACCTACTCCCTAGTCCCTGCTTCCAGAGGGAGTACAACTTATTTGAAAGAATTGCGTTTCCCTGTTTTGAATCTTAAGGTTACCTGAAGGACTGACATAATATGTTTGTCTTTGTTTTCCTTAACTTGGCAAAGGGCAAAGAGGGGTCTATTTAGAGGGGATTGCTCAAAAACCTTGTACCCCAAATAACAATCTGCAGCCACCAGGGGCAAAAGATTTCAGTTGAGGGAAACAGACACACCAACAGCCTGAGAGGAAAAGCTGGGAGAGAGTTTCTTTTGGAAATTAGGGCATTCAACAATGTCCACTTATACTAAAGTTAGGAATTTAGAAAGTCATGCATATATGCCCAGGGCAGGAAGCATGCTCAGAAAAGATCTGAAAAGAGCCTCTAGCTGAACTTTAGGTTCAGCACAAGCAAGAAATGAAGGCTAGGGCAGATCTATAAACAGCAGAGCTAAGCAATGAGTGTCCCCCAACACAGCCATTCTGCAAAGACGGGGAGAAGGTTGTTGTCTTCTCTTCTTTCTACTCTTTTTTTGGGAGGTGGCAGAGGGAGGCTCTAGGTATTCAAAAAAGTCTCTCAAAACACTAGTGGTGGCTCATGCCTATAATCCCACTGACTCACGTGGGAGGATCACTTAAGCAAAGTAGTTCATGGCTACAGTGAGTCATGATGCCACTGCACTATAGCCTGAGCAAGTGAGACCCCATCTCTAAAAACAGAAAATAAAGCAACAGCTGAACACTGGCTAAGAAAGGGACTTTAGAGAAGAAGCACAGCAAAGAACAGAGAATTTAGAAAGAGTTTAGAAAAGTCACTGAACAACTACAACTCACAGCAAACAACAAAAACTCAGGAGGAAGGGTCTCATTTCCGGAGTCACATTGTAATATTCAAAACATCCTGTTTTCAACAAAATGTTACAAAGCATGCAAATAAATTTTAAAAAGTATGGTACATACACAGGAGAAACTGACAGAAAGAGACTGAGAAGAATAGACATTGGACTTACTAGACGAAGATTTTAAATCAGCTGTCTTAAATATGTTCAACAGGCTAACAGAAACCATGGATACAGAATAACAAGAAGCCTTGGTAACATAGCAAGACCCCCCTCTCTACAAGAAATAAAAAATAAAAACAAATTAGCCAGGCATGGTGGCACTTCTCCCAAGCTACTTGGGAGGCTGAGGTGGGAGAATTACTTGAGCATGCAAGGTCAAGCCTGCAGTGAGCCATGATTACACCACTGCTCTTTAGTCTGGGCAATAGAGCGAGACCCTATCTCAAAAAACAAAAAAGGAAAAGTGAAAAAAAGAATGACAAGAAACCAGGAGAACAATGTCCCAACAAACAGAAAACCAAAAAAGAGAAAAAAATTATTTAAAAAAAAAAAAAAAAAAAAAAAGGACCAAATAGATATTCTAGAGCTAAAAACTACAATAATCAAAACAAACAAAAAAAACTTCACTAAAGGGTTTCAATGGCAGATTTGAACTGACAGAAGAATCAGCAAACTTGAAGATAGGTCAGTTGAATTTATCCAGTCTGAAGAACGGAAAGAAAAAAGAATGAAAGGAAATCAACAGACTCTAAGACGCCTATGGAACACCATCAAGCATACCAACATATGTATAATTGGAGTCACAGAGGCAAGAGAGAAAAGGGAAGAAAGAATATTTGAAGAAATAATGACTGAAAATTTCCCAAATTTGATATAACATAAATCTAAACATCCAAGAAGCTCAATAAACTTCAAGAAAAATAAAGAGATCCACACCAAGACATGTTGTAATCAAAACTGTCAAATGACAAAAGGAATCCTGAAAGCAGCAAGAAAGTAGTACTTGGATAAGCACCGTGGCTCAAGTCTGTAATCCCAATACTTTAGGAGGCTGAGGCAGGAGAATCACTTGAATCTAGGAGCTTGAGACCAGCCCGGGAAACATAAGGAGACCCCATCTCTACAAATAATAATCATCCAAGTGTGGTGGTACATGCCTGTAGTCCCAGCTACTCAGGAGGCTGAAGAAGAAGGATCATCTGAACCTGGGAGGACAAGGCTGCAGTGAGCCATGATCGTGCCACTGCACTTCAGCCTGGGGACAAAACAAGACTAGGTCTCAGAAAGAAAAGAAAGTGGTTCATTATGCACAAGGGGTCCTCAATAAGATTAACAGCTGATTGGGATGACCAGGCAGGTGGATCACCTGAGGTCAGGAGTTTAAGGCCAGCCTGAACAACATGGTGAAACCCCGTCTCTATTAAAAATACAAATATTAGCCAGGCATGGTGGCATGTGCCTGTAATCCCAGCTACTCAGGAGGCTGAGGCAGGAGAATTGCTTGAACCTGGGAGGCGGAGGTAGCAGTGAGCCGAGATTCTGCCACTGCACTCCAGCCTGGGCAACAGAGCAAGATTCGTATCCAAAAAAAAAAAAAGAAAAAGAAAAAAAAGATTAACAGCTGATTTCCCAGGAGAAACTATAGAAAACAGTGGGATGACATATTTAAAGTGCTGAGAGGAAAAAGTATAATACTATACCCAGCAAAACAATCCTTCAAGTAATAAAGAAATAAAGACATTCCTAGATAAAACAAAGTTCATTGCCAATAAATCTGCCTGCCTTACATTAAATGCTAAAGGGAGTTCTTTACACAAAAATACAAGTATGCTAGACAGTAATTCAAAGCTATGTGGAGAAGTAAAGAACACTAGTAAAGGTAACTACATAAATACAAAAGCCAGAATTATTGCATTTTTCTCTTTCCTATATAAAAGACAAATGCCAAATGCATAAAACAGTAATTATGGCCAGATGCAGTTGCTCACGTCTGTAATCCCAGCACTTTGGGAGGCCAAGGCAAGTGGATCACCTGAGGTCAGGAGTTCAAGACCAGCCTGCCAACATGGTAAAACCCTGTCTCTTCTTAAAAAAAAAGAAAAAAAAAAAAACTACAAAAATTAGCCAGGCGTGGTGGCACGCAACTGTAGTCCCAGCTACCTGGTAGGCTGAGGCAAAATAATCACTTGAGGGCCGGGCGCGGTGGCTCAAGCCTGTAATCCCAGCACTTTGGGAGGCCGAGGCGGGTGGATCACGAGGTCAAGTCGAGACCATCCTGGTCAACATGGTGAAACCCCGTCTCTACTAAAACTACAAAAAATTAGCTGGGCATGGTGGCGCGTGCCTGTAATCCCAGCTACTCAGGAGGCTGAGGCAGGAGAATTGCCTGAACCCAGGAGGCGGAGGTTGCGGTGAGCCGAGATCGCGCCATTGCACTCCAGCCTGGGTAACAAGAGCGAAACTCCGTCCCCCCCCCAAAAAAAAAAAAAAAAAATCACTTGAACCCAGGAGGCGGAGGTTGCAGTAAGCCAAAATCACACCACTGCACTCCAGCCTGGGTGACAGAGAGAGACTTTGTCTCAAAAAAAATAAAAAGAAATTATAAATCCATGTTAATGGGACGACAATTTGTAATTTGTGACAGCAACAGCGTAAACACAAGCTAAAAAAAAGCGATGGACAGAGCTGCATAGGAGTAGTTTTTATCCCCTATCAAAGCCAAGGTGGTATTAATTCAAAGAAAATAGAATACTACAAAAAACACTAGTTAAATACATAAGAAGGCATTAGTGGAGAAATTAAGAGACAAAATAGGTATGACATAGAAAACAAGTAACAAAGTGGCAGAGGTTCTCCCTTACCAGTAATTTAAATGTAAATAGGTTAAACTCTCTAATTAAAAGGCAGCATTTAGCAGAATGAATTTAAAAACAAACATGATCCAAATGTATGCTATCTACAAGAGACTCGCTTTAATTCAAAAATGCAAACAGGTTAGAAGTGAAAGGGCAGGGTTGGGTACAGTGGCTCATAACTGTAATCCCAACACTTTGGGAGGCTAAGGCAGGAGGATGGTTTGAAGCAAGAAATTTGAGGCCAACCTAGGCAAATGTGAGACCTCATCTCTGTAACAAATTTAAAAATTAGCCAGATCAGTGGTGTGTGCCTATAGGCCCGGCTACTCAGGAGGCTGGGGTGGGAGGATTACTTGAGCCCAGAAGTTCAAGGCTATAGTGAACTATGATCACACCACTGCACTCCAGCCTGGGCAACAGAGCAAGACGCTGTCTCCTTTAAAAAAAGAATGTGAAAAGACAAAAATATATAACATCTATAAGTACATATACACCTAAGAACAGAGCCCCCTGCAAAAGGAAGACATAGTTCAAAAACAGCCAGAGCCCCCTACTTCTTTGAGTTTTCTTTTTTTTGAGATAGGGTCTCACTCTTGTCACCCAGGCTACAGTGCAGTGATGCACTCAGTCTTGGCTCACTGCAACCTCCACCTCCTGGGTTCAGGCGATTCTCCTGCCTCAGGATCCCATCGCTGGGATTACAGGCGCCTGTCACCACGCCTGGATTTTTTTTTTTTTTTTTTTTTTGGTGTGTGTGTATTTTTAGTAGAGATGGATTTCACCATGTTGGCCAGGCTGGTC